AAGGTAAGGCCAGCGCCAACACCTTTTGAGTCGCATTCAAAACACTGAATTGTTTGCTTGTTGAGCCCTGTAACAGGCCTCATATCTGTTCTTATGCTCCACACCAGGGGTGTCCAAACTTTTTGGGCCGAGGGCCAGATGCAAAAAAACAAACGTTGTCGTGGGCCAAATTTTACATACATCACACAGACACGTGTGTGTGTGTATATATATATATATATATATATACAGTTGAAGTCAGAATTGTTAGCCCCCCTAAATTATTAGCCCCCGTTTATTTTTTCCTCAATTTCTGTTTAACGGAGAGAAGATTTTTTTCAACACATTTCTAAACATATTAGTTTTAGTAACTCATTTCTAATAATTTATTTATTTTTATCTTTGCCATGATGACAGTAAATAATATTTGACTAGATATTTTTAAGACACTTCTATACAGCTTAAAGTGACATTTAAAGACTTAACTAGGTTAATCAAGTTAACTAGTCAAGTTAAGGTAATTAGGCAAGTTATTTTATAACAATGGTTTGTTCTGAAGACTTAAGGTGCTAATAATTTTTACCTTAAAATGGTTCATAAAAAAATTTAAACCGCTTTTTATTCTAGCTGAAAAAAAACAAAAGTCTTTCTCCAAAAGAAAAAATATTATCAGACATACTGTAAAAATGTCCTTGCTCTGTTAAACATCATTTGGGAAATATTTAAAAAAGAAGAAATAAATCAAAGAGGGGCTAATAATTCAGACTTCAACTGTGTGTAGACAGACAGACAGACAGACAGACAGACAGACAGATAGATAGATAGATAGATAGATAGATAGATAGATAGATAGATAGATAGATAGATAGATAGATAGATCATAGCAAGAACTGCTGCTTAATTGAATGCATGTAACAGCGACACCCGGTGGTTATTTATTGAATTACGTTCATTTTTGAATAGCGGGCCAGATTCTATTGATATTTATAAAAAGCCTCGCGGGCCGCCACAAAACTGATTGCGGGCCGCAGATGGCCCGCGGGCCGTAGTTTGGACACGCCTGCTCCACACGCACAGGTGCGGGGAGTGGCTGGGCAGGATAATGCTGCGCATATGAGCGCAGTGAAAGTGCAAGAATGTTTTGTCCTACCAGTTCATATATTATATGTTATACAATATAATATTTTTTACAACAATAGGATTTCTTCATAGTGTTGATTTTATGTTAAGCAACATTAGGCACATTCAAATCAAGACTTAAAACACATCTGTTTAGCTGTGCCTTTACTGAATGAGCACTGTGCTACGTCCGACAGTTCACACTATTATGTTTTCTGTTTTTAACTGTTTTTTTAAATCATTTTTATTCTTTGTTTTTATTTTCTTATACTTGTCTCTTTTATTCTTGTTTATGTAAAGCACTTTGAATTACCATTGTGTATGAAATGTGCTATATAAATAAACTTGCCTTGCCTATATACATACTGATTAACTGTGATTTCTTTACCATAGGTGCATACAGCAGTCAGCAGAGTAGTGGAGTACTTGGAGGTAACTACAGGTGTACAGTTCCCCTCAGCAATTATTCTTCTCCACGGCTATCTGCATTTTGAGGCCCTAACTGACCATGAATACAAGTATTCATGTGTATCTTGTGGTGACCATCCATCTGTGTCTTTCATGTTACCTGTATCTTTCCTTTTTACTGCAGAGAGGTAAGTCTTATTAGTAAAACTATTAGTAAGTTTATAGTAAGTAATTATTTTCTTTAGTGAGTGATCTTTCACAGCCTCCACAAGATTTTAATGGAGAGGTGGATTTAGATATGTTTGGAAGGCACTGACAGAAGAACGAATTGCTCGAGGATTTTTTTCAAGTAAGGAAATTTATTATATCAGGAATGGCATGTCATCATTATTTAATTTCATAAGTGTTTTCAGGAGTACAATCTAAATTCACTGATGTACTAACATGTTTGTCCTAAAGGTCAAAAAAACAATCCATTCTGTGTTACACCTAGTTACAACTTTTGGGCACCCTGGATCGGGAGTAAGACTCATATAGCGAATGTTGTTCTCAACACTGAATTTGAGAAAGTGCACAAAGCAAAAACTGCAGAACGAACAGAAATAACTGTCTCTGAAGATCGCTTAAAGGACGAACTTTCAAAACAGAAAGTTAAATATTTAATGCTAATTATATGTATTATTTGTCAGTGTTGGCATTTCATTTAACGTGTGTTTTATGTGATAGGTGGGAGTGATAAGAAGACTGTGTCAAGAGTGTGGTTTAGATGCCAAAGGCTCTCGCACAGATCTACTCCTGCGACTTTCGGAGGAGATGAGGTCAAGGGAGGCCTATGACAAGGTTTTTGAAAAGATTTGGGCTGCTTCAGGTAAACCTCAATGTTGCACATTAAAATATTACAAATAAATCAGAAATGTACAAAGTCACATAGACATAATGGTTCCTGTTTTCTGCTTGGCACTGATTGGGGAGTGACTGGTGGTGTACAGCTCTGGGGGGGTGTTGGAGGTGGCCTCGTCTGACACCTATTGTTGCTTTCCGTGTGGGGGAGTGTATTTACATCTCTGAGGCACTGCATCTTTAAATTTTTTAAAAGTATACTTTGTTAAGGTTAATGCCACTGCCCTCTATCATAACCTATGGTCATTTAAGTCCCAATGTCATTAATGGGATTTGATTATGTTTTCTTAACTATTTGCTTATCTTTTTTGTCTGTTCCAGGAGGTTGGGCTGTCATCATGTGTCCTTGTGGCATAGTTTACAGTATAAAGTGTAATCTGCGAGCAGAAAGTCCACGGGATTTTGCAGATATGCTTCTGTCTTGGAAGCATCTGCCTAATGTTGTTATTTGTGACTTTGCCCGTGGACTGTCCACCCACACAAATTTGAGGAAACCCATAACTTTCACACCTTTCGAGGGAAGGTTACTCGAACCAACCACTGAAAATATTGCAAAAGCAAAATCAGGAAAATTACAGGTAACTCTGCCATTGCTCACTGCAAAAAAGCAAAGTCCAGATACGGATGGTCATCCAATAACTGGTTCTGCAGAACACTATGTTCTGTATGACCGCTTTCACGAAGACAACACAAAAGATCCTCGTGATTCACTGAGGAAGCTTCGTCTTGTGCCTCAACTAGCTGGCAAAGTTAACAGTCAGGCTGCAGAACAGCTTTTTTCAAAGCTAAAGAAAAATAACTACTTTATGAACATGGCATTGCCATCCACACATGTTTTCCTCATGCGAAACATCATCCACCATTACACTGTCAGAAAAAACGAGAAACGTCTTCATGACATAAAAAAGGAATTCAACTCAAACATTCACATGAATGACCACAGCCAGGTTGTGTTAGGTAATGTTTCCCTTACTGTGTAACAAATACATCAATTTATCCATAACTGTACTTATGTGTATATTTGTATTTATAGAAAATCCATCCTCCACAGAGAAATGCATGGACATGTCACTTGGTAATTTGACTGTTCTTTCCAGTTGCTCAGTGTCAAGTTTCTGTTCTCTAATTATTATGTGTTATTTTCTCATTTTGGTGCTTTAATGTACTCTACGGACCACTGACAGCACTGCCAGAAAATATTGTGACTTTACAAACGACCGCTGCATCACCAGGCATAACATCAGTCACATCTCCTCTGTCATCAGTACCAAGTACAGAAAAAACAGCTTGTGAACCTACCACTCTTCTGAATTTTTTGGAACCTACTAAGCCTTGGAAGAGGGACTGGGATCCATTACAAGAGAAACTGGTGAACATTTACATTTACATTTAGTCATTTAGCAGACGCTTTTATCCAAAGCGACTTACAAATGAGGACAAGGAAGCAATTTACACAACTAAGAGCAACAATGAATAAGTACTAAAGGCAAGTTTCAGGTCTGTAAAGTCTAAGAAGGGAAGTATTAGTAGTTTTTTTTTTTTTGTGTACAGTTAGTGTGATATTCAAAGAGGCAATTGCAGATTAGGAAGTGTAGTGGAGACTAAATAGTTGAGTTTTTAGTTGTTTCTTGAAAATAGCGAGTGACTCTGCTGTTCTGATGCAGTTAGGGAGTTCATTCCACCAACTGGGCAGATTGAGCGTGAGCGTTCGCGAAAGTGATTTCTTCCCTCTTTGGGATGGAACCACGAGGCGACGTTCATTCACAGAACGCAAGTTTCTGGAGGGCACATAGATCTGCAGAAGTGAGTGCAGATAAGAAGGTGCTAGGCCAGAAGTCACTTTGTAGGCAAACATCAGAGTTTTGAATTTGATGCGAGCAGCAACTGGCAGCCAGTGCAAACGGACTAGCAGCGGAGTGACATGTGCTCGTTTAGGTTCATTGAAGACAACTCGTGCTGCTGCATTCTGGAGCAGTTGAAGAGGCTTGATAGAGTTAGCTGGAAGCCCAGCTAGTAGAGAGTTGCAGTAATCCAGTTTGGAGAGAACAAGAGCTTGAACAAGGAATTGAGCTGCATGTTCAGATAAGAAGGGTCGGATCTTTCTGATTTTATAGAGTGCAAATCTGCACGATCGAGCAGTTCTAGAAATGTGGTCAGAGAAGTTTAGTTGGTCATCAATCGTTACTCCAAGGCTTTTCACCATTTTGGATGCAGTAATGGTTGCCCCATCCATCTGGATTGAAAAGTTATGGTGTAGAGTCGGGTTGGCAGAAACTACAAGCATTTCCGTTTTTGCGAGGTTCAGCTGAAGATGATGATCTTTCATCCAGTGTGAAATATCCAACAGGCAGGCTGAGATGCGAGCTGGAACCGAGGGATCATCAGGATGAAAAGAGAGGTATAGCTGGGACAATTACCATTACATACAAACGCACACACACACACATATTTATTGTTATTATTATTACAGCTTGATTATGTGCTGGACCGAAATCGCCCTGGCAGTGAAATAATTGTGAAGGAGGGGCAAGTGTGCCTTATTCGAGAAGAATTTTGGAGCCTTGGATTGTTGAGGGACATGAACTCCCATGTATCAGTCTGTTTTTTATTATAACTTTTTTTTTATTAAAAACATTGACTTATCAAAGTATTTATTGCAGATTGGAAACGCCTGCATGAAGCTTATTTGTGAAATGGCTCGACAAATTGTATGTACTATAAAACATAATATTTATATAGATTGTTTTAACTTGATCCAAAAAAAAAAAAAAACAATTTCTAAACTGTGTGAAAATGTTCATGTCATTGTCAACAGTTTATTTTTATTCATGTAGGGCAAGGACATATACATTGAGGACTTTTATGTTGTCCCTGTGTGGAAAGAAACTCCTAACAACATTGTTACTGGATTACCGGTGCGTGTATGTACTGTATTTACTGTGTGAGAAGTACAACCTAAATTAAACGACATAACTGTCCTGATCAATTCTAGGAAGATGCAGACTTGAAAGACCTGTTAGCCTTTCCAGCATGGACAAATGCCAATGGACCAGACCGCTTTGTTGTCTGTGTAAGAAAATATTGAAATGTCTAGTGCATACATTAATTGGTATTGCAATGTGTGTGTTTCTAAAATAAAACACTGAAAAATCTTGGAAGAAGCAATAATGTTCAAATGAAATATTTTTACACCTTTAACATTATAGATAATGATGCCGCTTCGAAGAGAGATGGTGTTTTTAGACTCTCTGTACGCAGAGCATGAATCATGATTTGGAGATGAGGAATACAGGGCAATTTTTAGGTCTATCAATAAACTAAGACATGTTTTAGCCTTTATGTGATATATGGCTACGTTCCTATAGCCATTTCTATTTATTTCCTAACCGTGTATTATAGGTCTGTCACTTTTGGCTACGTTCCTATAGCCGTTTCTTAAACTTCTGGCTATGTTCATCTAGCCTTTTTTATGCATGGTGTTCTAGAGTTGAGGTGAGCTGTAATTGTTAGTATTACTACTAATATGTTTTGTTTACAGGAAAATTGCTTACCAAGTGGATCATGGGACATGGTCTGAAAAGACTGGATATGATTTTCCAGTGAGGAATCAACTTAAAAAAAAATTATTATTTGGCTTTTACAACAATTAAATTTTTTGTACATTATTCTAAAATAAAATTAATTTGCTTTGCCTATTTTAGGCTTTGCCACGTCAGACAAGAGGGAATGATTGTGGTGTTTTTGTACTCATGGTAAGATATAAATTGAGTTAATTGATTTGAAGATTTTGTAAACATTGTAAATGACTGTGGCTTCTCTCTTTTCAGTACACCCTCTCAATGGTGTGTGGCATTGGGTTTCAACTCCAGGAGGTATTATTTTATTATTTATGTAACTTTATTTTGTTGGTGCTTTTCTTAATCATAGCTAAAATGTAACTATTTTAATGTAAATTATCTTGCTTTCTTCTAAGCAACATATCTTTTAAAAAAAGGGGCATGGTTATTGCAAGCACACCCAACATCATGTATTAACAAAAACATGTTGGTTAACTGTTAGACTAAACAGTCTTTCTTTCAGATGGATATACCTATCATCCGTCAGTGGTGGTGCCTTCTACTCATGGAACGATTTCAAATTGATGGGTATGTCAGTATTTATTTATTTTTCTTGTAAATCTGTAAAATTAAAAATGTATATTGTGTCAATACAACAACTTGTAACATGAATAACAAAACATACTTAAAATCTCTCTTACCTCGGTCCCAGTAACTCCCCTCGCTGGCCAGCAGAGGCCACCATCTTCGGACTTTTAGCATTACGTCATCCATCTACACTGATTGCGCATACACCTGATTGGAATCTGGCTAATGACCCATGTACCTCTTATAAGCCGCACTCAAACACTCGTTCAGGGCGAAGTCTTGTTTAGCCCCGGCCAGCATTTCTGAGCATTATCTCCAGCCTGATCTCCTGTGCACGACTCCAGCCTGTCTCTTACTTTGCTTCGCCTTCTGCCTGCCCACGACCCACGCTTGTTATACGGACTCTGACTCTCTCTCTGCCTGCCCACGAACCACACCTGTTATACGGACTCTGATCCTTGCTGCCTGCCCTTGACCCAAGCCTGCATAACGGATCCTGGTTCTCGCTCACTCCCTTCCACTCATGCCTGGTAACTCACTCTGTGTCTGTTCATCATCAGTCTTGATACCCATACTACTACTGTGGATGTGTGTGTGTGTGCACTCCGGTGCATATTGTGTGTTTGAGTGAAGTTGTGATTAATAAATACTGCATAATGGATCCCTCCGTGTCAGTCTCCTCGTTACACAGTAATTATGGATTTTGTCTTGTCTTGTTATTAAAAGCTATGGGCACAGATTTGCTTTCTGGACTGAGGAGGCAAGAAGTGTCTTGGATGGAAAGATTCTGCTCCTTTTTAGGGTGAAAAGAAAAACCACATCCAATCTTCCGGCACATGTCCAAGCAGTTCAAGATCGGGAAAGGAATGACAAACGATTAGTGGACTCGATTATCACATCAAAATCAGCAGAGCAGCATTTGGTGGTATAGATGGTTCCACTTTAAATTACTCCTCTAGACTCTGAGTATGGTTGACTTAAATATAGTCAAGTGACAATTTAACTATTATTTGCCAAATATAATTAATTACTTGTGCATTTACATATGAAATATAATTTCCTTCTATGGCCCAAAGGATATACTCGGTGGGAAAAGGTCAAATTGGTTTCCACTAAAACCCCGTTCTCAAGTGCCTGTCTACATTGAGAATGAGCAGTCCCAGTCAATCATTTGTGACTACATCAGAGGAATTCTTAATAAAACCAAAACACAGCTGACCTTCAATGATGAGGTGGAGTTCATTTGTGGATTTCTTCTCCCAGAGGTAATCACAAAACATGTATGTACATGAGCATGCTTATGTGTGTTTTATTTTATTAATTGGTTTATCTGTATGTTTGTACAGGCCATAACTCATGGCATTTCCGAGTTACAAGGCTTGTCTTGGCAGGAGGCTGAAGATGTCTTCCTCCAGGGCCCCATTTATCACGCAAGGTATGTTTACATTTTTTTTGTACAAAAGCTGTTAAGTTTTTATGTTAAACACAATTTCTGACAAAAACATTTATTTTTTTAGTGAAGTTGAGGAATTTAACAAAAGAATTGCTCGAGAAATGAAAAATCTCCCCAACAAGAATGTAAAGCATTTTATTTTATATATAATAAATACATTATTAATCCAAGTATTGTTTTTCACAATTTTTCTCTGCATTTTTTACAGCTCGATGACTTGTAGGACCTCATGAAAATTTATAAAAAAATAAAGTTTGGTGTGAGAAAATTACTCAGAGTACTATCATTTATTCTGTGAATAATAAGATAATGTTCATTCCCTCAACTCAATACTAAAGAGTTTGATAAATCCTTAATGATTTAAAAACAAAAAACAACAACAAAAACAATAAATGACTGAAAATATTTAAGTAACTGAACAATATCTATTTACAAATACAGTTAATTAAAATACAACAGACTTAATGCATTAAATCATAATCTAGTATGTTTAATATTTTATATAATAATGTATTCAATCATAGTGCAATATTTTATAGTAGAAAAATAGTGTAATTTACAATTTATAAATCAATGAATTCAGGTTAGGCAATTTTTCCAACAGCAGGTGGCACTGTCTGAGAAAATGATAGGTCTGGAAGTGCTGGTCTGAGCGAGCAAGTCTGAGCGTGCGGTTGGGTCTCGGGGCCTGCAGCTTCATAATGTTGCCACAGAGACTTAGGGAATGGTCACCTACAGTGGTAGAAACGCGGAACTTTGTCTAGACACTGTTAACAGTAATACCTTCCCTACCCATGACAATGTTCTGCTAAATCCTGATTTCATCTTGTAACGCTGGACAGAATGTGGCCCAGGATCTTTGTCCAGTGCACGTGTTAGCAGTTACAAGGCAGCAAAATGATTGATCCGTCCCTGGGTGGGCTTGAACCACCAACCTTTCAGTTAACAGCCGAACGCGCTAACCGATTGTGCCACAGAGACTTAGTGAAAAGTCACCTACAGTGGTAGAAACGCGGAACTTTGTCTCAAAAGGTCTGCTATATGAACCTTAATGTAAGTTTGCTGAGAGAGAGAGAGAAAAGTAACAGAAACGCCCAACGTGGGGCTCGAACCCACGACCCTGACATTAAGAGTCTCATGCTCTACCGACTGAGCTAGCCAGGCGGATGAGGAGTCCCCACTAGAACTAGACACTGTTAACAGTAATACCTTCCCTACCCGTGACAATCTTTTGCTAAATCCTGATTTCATCTTGTAACGCTGGACAGAATGTGGCCCAGGATCTATGTCCAGTGCACGTGTTAGCAGTTGCAAGGCAGCAAAATGCCTAATTCGTCCCTGGGTGGGCTTGAACCACCAACCTTTCAGTTAACAGCCGAACGCGCTAACTGATTGCGCCACAGAGACTTAGTGAAAGGTCACCTACAGTGGTAGAAACGCGGAACTTTGTCTCAAAGTCTGCTACATGAACCCTAATGTAAGTTTGCCGGGAGAGAGAGAGAAAAGTAACAGGAACGCCCAACGTGGGGCTCGAACCCACAACCCTGACATTAAGAGTCTCATGCTCTACCGACTGAGCTAGCCGGGCTGATGAGAAGTTCTTTAAGGAACCAGAAACCGTTTACAGTAATACCTTCCCTACCCGTGACAATCTTCTGCTAAATCCTGATTTCATCTTGTAACGCTGGACAGAATGTGGCCCAGGATCTATGTCCAGTTACAAGGCAGCAAACTGCTTGATCCGTCCCTGGGCGGGCTTGAACCACCAACCTTTCAGTTAACAGCCTAACGCGCTAACCGATTGCGCCACAGAGACTTAGTGAAAGGTCACCTACAGTGGTAGAAACGCGGAACTTTGTCTCAAAAGGTCTGCTATATGAATCCTAATGATAGTTTGCTGAGATAAAGAGAGGTAACAGAAACGCCCAATGTGGGGCTCTAACCCACGACGCTGAGATTAAGAGTCTCATGCTCTATCGACTGAGCTAGCGGGGATGATGAGAAGCTCTTTTAGGAACCAGAAACCGTTTACAGTAATACCTTCCCTACCCGTGACAATCTTCTGCTAAATCCTGATTTCATCTTGTAACGCTGGACAGAATGTGGCCCAGGATCTATGTCCAGTGCACGTGTTAGCAGTTGCAAGGCAGCAAAATGCTTCATTCGTCCCTGGGTGGGCTTGAACCACCAATCTTTTAGTTAACAGCCAAATGCGCTAACCTATTGCACCACAGAGAGTTAGGGAAAAATCACCTACAGTGGTAGAAAGGCGGAACTTTGTCTCAAAAGATCTGCTACATGATCCCTAATGTAAGTTTGCTGAGAGAGAGAGAGAAAAGTAACACAAACGCCCAACGTGGGGCTCGAACCCACGACCCTGAGATTAAGAGTCTCATGCTCTACCGACTGAGCTAGATGAGCTGATGAGAAGCTTTTTCAAGAGCTAGACACCGTTTACAGTTATACCTTCCCTACCTGTGACAATCTTCTGCTAAATCCTGATTTCATTTTGTAACGCTGGACAGAATGTGGACCAGGATATATGTCCAGTGCACGTGTTAGCAGTTGCAAGGCAGAAAAATACCTAATTCGTCCATGGGTGGGCTTGAACTACCAACCTTTCGGTTAACAGCCGAATGCGCTAACCAATTGCACCACAGAGACTTTGTATGATGTCACCTTCAGTGGTAGAAAGGCGGAACTTTGTTTCAAAAGGTCTGCTATATGAATCCTTATGAAAGTTTGCTGAGAGAGAGAGACAGAGAAGTAACAGAAACGCCCAACGTGGGGCTCTAACCCACGACCCTGAAATTATGAGTCTCATGCTTTACTGACTGAGCTAGCCAGGCTGACGAAGAGCTCTTTCAAGAGCTAGACACCATTTACAGTAATACCTTCCCTACCCGTGACAATCATCTGCTAAATCCTGATTTCATCTTGTAACGCTGGATAGAATGTGGCCCAGGATCTATGTTCAGTGCACGGGTTATCAGTTGCAAGGCAGCAAAATGCCTAATTCGTTCGTGGGTGGGCTTGAAACAACAATCTTTTAGTTAACAGCCAAATGCGCTAACCTATTGCACCACAGAGAGTTAGGGAAACATCACCTACAGTGGTAGAAAGGCGGAACTTTGTCTCAAAAGATCTGCTAGATGAACCCTAATGTAAGTTTGCTGAGAGAGAGCGAGAAAAGTAACAGAAACACCCAACGTGGGGCTCGAACCCACGACCCTGAGATTAAGAGTCTCATGCTCTACCGACTGAGCTAGCCGGGCTGATGAGAAGCCTTTTCAAGAGCTAGACACCGTTTTCAGTAATACCTTCCCTACCCGTGACAACCTTCTGCTAAATCCTGATTTCATCTTGTAACGCTGGACAGAATGTGGCCCAGGATATATGCCCAGTGCACGTGTTAGCAGTTGCAAGGCAGCAAAATGCCTAATTCGTCTCTGGGTGGGCTTGAACCACCAACCTTTTAGTTAAAAGCCGAACGCACTATCCGATTGCGCCACAGAGACTTAGTAAAATGTCACCTACAGTGGTAGAAAGGCAGAACTTTGTTTCAAAAGGTCTGCTGTATGAACCCTAATGAAAGTTTGCTGAGAGAGAGGCAACAGAAATGCCCAACATGGGGATCTAACACACAAGCCTGAGATTAAGAGTCTCATGCTCTACCGACTGAGCTAGCCGAGCTGATGAGGAGCCATTTAAAGAGTTAGACACCGTTTACAGTTATACCTTCCCTACCTGTGACAATCTTCTGCTAAATCCTGATTTCATCTTGTAACGCTGGACAGAATGTGGCCCAGGATATATGCCCAGTGCAAGTGTTAGCAGTTGCAAGGCAGAAAAATGCCTAACTCGCCGCTGGGTGGGCTTGAACCACCAAGCTTTCAGTTAACAGCCAACACGCTAACCGATTGCGCCACAAAGACTTAGCGAATGGTCACCTACAGTGGTAGAAAGCCGGAACTTTGTCTCAAAAGGTCTGCTATATGAACCCTAATGAAAATTTGCTGAGAGAGGTAACAGAAACACCCAACGTGCTGCTCGAACCCATGACCCTGAGATTAAGAGTCTCATGCTCTACCGACTGAGCTAGTCGAGCTGATGAAGGGCCCTTTCAAGAGCTAGACACTGTTTTTAGTAATACCTTCCCTGCCTGTGACTATATTTTGCTAAATCCTGATTTCATCTTGTAACGCTGGACAGAATGTGGCCCAGGATCTATGCCCAGTGCACGTGTTAGCAGTTGCAAGGCAGTAAAATGCCTAATTCGCCCCTGGGTGGACTTGAACCACCAACCTTCCAGTTAACAGCGGAACACGCTAACCAATTGCGCCACAGAGACTTATTTAGAGGTCACCTTCAGTGGTAGAGAGGCGGAACTTTGTTTCAAAAGGTCTGCTATATAAACCCTAATGAAAGGGGTCACCAACCTTTTAGTTAACAGCCGAACGCACTAACCGATTGTGCCACAGAGCTTTGGTTATCAGTTATTAATCAGTTATTAGAGATTAGTTATTAAAACAATAATGTTTAAAAATGTGCCGAAAAAATCGTATCTCCATTTAACAGAAATAGGGGAAAAAAAACTTTTTTTTTACTTGTTCAAACTACTTAATTACACAATTCTTAAGATTTACATGGGACAACTTAATGTTCAGTCCAAATAATTTGGTAAAAGTGTTAAGTTATCTTAATTTGTGTTAAGACAACATGAAAGAATTGTGTGAAACCCTGCACAAATATGGTAATCGGTTCATAATAAGTTAAAGCACATTGTCAGATTTTGCTGTATTTGGCTTAACAGTTGTATAGATGGACTCTTAATACAATAAATAAGTAAGCTGACCAAAGTTCTTACGGGGTGAAGACTTTATTGAAGACAATGAATAGTGCAGTTCCTCAGCAGTGATGTTAACTTGTCTGTCTTCAAGTAACTAACTGTGAGACACTACTTTATAACAAAGGATGATCTAATTTGTGAATCATGTTTTAGCTAAGCATGTGATCCTCTCGAAAGTAGTTTATAAATAAACTTCACTTGAATAAACAGCCAAACTACATGAAAAAGCTGCCGTTTTGAATATACCCGTGTTTGTGTGGACAAGGCCTCAATGTTGAGGACTCTGCTCTCCATTGTGAAGCTTTAGGTGAGTGTTGAGGATTCTTTTACAGTTAAAGCCCTTTCCACACTCACTGCATCTAAAACGATCCTTTCTTGAGTGAATCTTCATGTGTTGCTTAATGGTGTCTTTCCGTGTGAGACTCTTTCCACACTGATCACATGTGAACACTATGGTTCCAGTGTGACCATTCATGTGGTTCTTGAGGCTAAATTTGGTTGTGAAGCTCTTTCCACACTGAGCACATGCAAACGGCTTCTCTCCGGTGTGAGTTCTCATGTGGTGATTGAGTGTGTTTTTATGTGGGAAACTTTTACCACACTCTGTGCATATGTAAGGTTTCTCTCCAGTGTAAATACTCATGTGGATGTAAAGGTCTTGTTTTTTACCTAAATTCTTTTCCACACTGTTCGCAGGTGTAAGGTTTCTCCCTAGTGTGAACTCTCATGTGAGCAATCAGGTTCAGCTTTTTACTTAAACTCTTTCTACACTGTTTACAGCTGAAAGGCTTCTCTCCAGTGTGAATTCTCATGTGCACTTCCAAGTTTCTTGCATGGCGGAAGCTTTTTCCACACTGTTGGCATGTGTACGGCCTCTCTCCAGTGTGAATTCTCATGTGGGATTTAAAGCTTTGTTTTTGACTAAAACTCTTTCCACACTGTTCGCAGGTGTAAGGTTTCTCCCCTGTGTGAACTCTCATGTGAATATCAAGGTTTGGCTTTTGACTAAAACTCTTTCCACACTGCTTACAGCTGAAAGGCTTCTCTCCAGTGTGAATTCTCATGTGAGTTTTTAAGCATTGTTTTTGACTAAAACTCTGTCCACACTGTTCGCAGGTGTAAGGTTTCTCCCCTGTGTGAACTCTCATGTGAACATCAAGGTTTGACTTTTGACTGAAACTCTTACTACACAGTTTACAGCTAAAATTACACCCAGATTTGGATTTCCGAGGTCTTCCGTGTGATGAAGTCTTTTTAGTCAGTGTGGGTTTTTCATCAGTCGTTAGTTCTTGTGGTTTCTCAAACTGCCATTTCTCATCTATTTCATTCTGTCCATGTGTCTCTTCCTTCAGCACCATCCGGTCTAAAAAAAAAAAAAAAAAGTTAGCTTTAGTATGAAGACTCAAAGCGACAAGCAAGAAATGGATGTTGAATGTCTTACCATGAAATTACCTTACCATTTACTCTCCATCATGTGGTTTTAAACTTTCCTTTATTGTGGAACACAGTAAGCCAGTAGTGTTTTTTTTTATCTTCTGTGTTTAACTCATAAAGGTTTAAATCCACATGAGGGAGAGTAAATGGTGAGACTATTTTCATTTCTGCATCAACTATCCCTTTAAAAGGTTTCTACAATTACCCATTTTTTACAAGATGTACAATAAGTCTTTGGTGTTCCAAGAATGTGTCTGAGGTTTCAGCTCAAAATCAGATCATATACCTTGTAGAATATTTAATGTTGGGGGTCAGAGGAAAACCAAGCTCTTGTTTTTAAAAGCAAATGATCAAATGCACTCTCTCTAGATTACTCGTGTTGTGTTCCCTCTTGCTTGGAAGACCCGATTGAGACAAATCCTGCATGTCCATAGCAAGTATGCATAATTCATGCTTATATTTGCAAGTTTGCATTATTGTATAAAACTTATGCAAATTCTTAATGCCACATTTGCTTTAAAAAGGAGTGATGAGGAGATGGCAAGATGAAATACTTTGTTACTTGTTTTCATTTATTTGTACTTTTGTCTTTGTTTTCTTGCCTTTGTGTATGCCCTGAGGCTTGGCTGAAGATCTACTTAGTGACATTGTATATACCAGACAAGATGCAGAAATGCCAATCAGGGACAGTGACAACATAAATATACAAAATAATAATGTTAACCCAGGGTTTACGAATGTGAACTGTCTGTTAATGAACACCCAGGATTATTTTTTAACCCCAGGTATAGCATGAGCCGTGTGGAAGGTGACTACAGATAACCCAGAATTTATCCAGGTATAGATTGACCCAGGGTTAACAATTTGAAGTGTGAAAAGCCCTAAGAATACTCAGCATCAGCTGTCAGGATAAACAGATTATAATGACAAACAGCGACAACTGTCAATCATGTCATGATGACCTGGGGCCTGTTTCAGTAAGGAGGTTAAACCAACTCAGAGTTTAAACTTGAACTCTGAGTTGATTTACAGAGAGATTAAATTCTCTGAGTTTTCGGATTCAGAAAAACATTTGAGCTACAAAAGTCTTTCAGTCAAGAGCAGTGAGGGATTTTCTCCTTTTGTTGTTTGATTAATGCTAAAAACAGTCAGCAGCAGGAATATTGCGCACTGTCACTTTAAGAATAGTGCGGCTCTGATATGGTTTCTCTTTCACATGTCTTTTGATTCTCAACTTGTTTGTTTATTACACAAATAAGAGTTAATATGAATATTCACTAAACACAGCACTCTGACCCAAATTTGCATGCATTTGACCATTAAAGCGCTCAGATTAAGATGGCTCTAGATGTGTGTTCTATATGATGGAATAATCGTTTATCTCGATTAATGGTTTTTCATAATCATTAGAAGCTAAAATCGAAATTGAAACCAGATTTTCGATTAATTGCACAGCCCTATCAAGTGGTAGAGGTTGATATGACATTTAGAATGTAAGCAGGACTAAAAAATCTTTTTAGAACGAGAACGAATAATCCCATTAATCTAGTTACAGTACATGTCCGTCAAAGGTTAGTGAATTTAAGCTAATTATTCATTAAGAAAGGACAAGCCATTCTGCTACGTGACTTTGTTCTTTGTGTAACTAAAATGTAGACAATAGCTATGTTTCTATCCAAAAATGCGAATTATATTTATGCGCAAAACTGGGATGTCACATAAAAGATGTGCGAATAAAGCTGCGTTTCCATCCAATGAATCAAAGAGAACAAAATCGTCACTTCCTGATTAACAGGCCCCAATTAAGAACAGTAAAAACAGAATTTACTGCGGTAGAAGAAGCTACATGAATCTTTTATTTAAATGACAGCTCAGAGGTCAATGCTGGCACACAGTGAACACGTGTTGGCGTTTGAAGCAATGAGACGCAGAGAACAGATGTTCTGGAGGTCTTTAATAAAATAATAACATGAATACTGAAACGGTTCAGGTGTTTTAGAATGACCAAAACAACATTTCAGATGTTTATAATGTTCTCAGCCTGCTGGTTTGTGCATTCACACACATTTTCATCATCATATGATCTCTTATACCAAACCTTTTTAAACACACATACTGGAATTTGTTCAGTAAAAGTGCTTGCTAGGTTTACGAGAGTTTATCTTCTCTTATCGAATAAAAAGTTTGTCCTACTCAGTTATGCGCATGTTTCTTTATGCTTATATTTCAAAAGTTATGTGCATCATGGCGTTTCCATCAACCAATTTTTTATGCTTATAGCCTACCCAAAATGCACATAAAATTAGGTGGCTGATAATGTAAGGCTAAGTGAGAAATACCGCTTTATCTTTTAAAAAGGGGAGGAGACCGACAGAAAACTCTCTTTCAGAGACAGGCTCTCTTGCTCTGCAAACAAGTGTGTTCATGACTATACATACAAAGAAAAACAATAAAATTAGAAAATATGACTTTGCTACAACAAGCAGCATTAGGCATGGGTCAGTATAAGATTCTGACAGTATGATAACCTTGAATAAAAAATATCACAGTTTTATGGTACTGTAATTACTCCTCTAAAATATATTCTTTTAAATGTCTGGGTAAACAGACACTTTTTCCTCTTAGAACACAAAACATTTTCTTTTGAGAAACTTTTAAAGTATTTTGGAGCAGTAAACATGTCAGGCTGAATCACTCAATTGAATCATTGACTTCTGTTGTCTTCATTTGTTTCATAAACACAGATTTCTTTACAATTTAAAATGGCATCTTTGGAGATCTTTTCTGCTGGAGATACTGTTGTCCTGAAAAACTTAAAACAAAATATTTAAAAAAAAAAAAACTTGCATATAGCGATGAACGGTACAGCAGAAAATATTTGCCAGTTTTAAAATCTTGACTTTTTTTCAAATTGCGTTATACCTTGAAAACGGTTATCGTCCCATGCCTCAGCAGCACAACACTGTTTTTAGGATCTAAAAATGTATTCGTTAATAAAAGTCTCAAGCAAAAAGATTCCAATGGCAGCGCCTGCTGGTACGTAAAGAATATGGTCAATACTGACAAACTTCACACTCAAATGTTTGCATATCATCAGCATGCTGTAATCCATTTCTTAAGCAGCAAAAGTCATTTTTAGACTAGTTTGTTGGCCAGTTGTAGTCAGCGCAATGTTAAACGTTATTGTTTCACAATAGTCATTTAGTCTCAGGTCGCCCTGCAGCAACATTATATAGTTTAGAATTCTGTACAATGTTTTATAATAATTAATTACTTTAGTGTCCATTTCATTCAGCATGTTTAATATTGGGGGCATCCATGTTTTTTATACTTTAAACCAGAGTTTCTGCTTGTTTCACCAAGTTAAATGTAAGACTTTTAAAGACATTTTTAATACCATTATGACAATTTTAGACTCATAAAGGGCTAAAGGCTAAGGAATTTTTCAAATACCCCAGATGAAAAAGATTTTAAATTTGCCCTATTTAAAAAAATGATAATTTAATACATTTAATAATACAATAATAAATTAATAAAAAATATATCTTATAGATATTTCTTAGCAAAATATTTTAAATTGTGTGTAATAACATGCAAGCTTTACTTGTATCCACACACTTCTTTCCTAAATAAACTTTCTTTAAAAAATAATTAAAAATGAACAAATGTTTTAAATGTTTTAAAAACTATAACAAACTAAATCTACACAACAATCTGTGCTTGATGTCTTCAGCAGTAAATACATGGAGCACATTTAAACAAATGTTATTGTGAGGAAAATACTTAAACCATTATAATAAATACAGTTAAAATGACGTTTTTGAATGAAAAGTTGAAAGTTTTATTGAGATGGATTGTTGGTGATTGTATGGGTTTTGGCCAGATTGGGTAGCAAAACATGAACAAAGGAAAATGAAGACTTGTTTAAAAAGATTTAAGACCTACAACACAACATTTCAGTAAATTTAAGACTTTTTAAGGCCGAAAACTTTGATTTTGGAATTTACGACATTTTAAGACCCCGCAAAAACCCTGTTTAAACACAATAGCCCTGATAATTAGTTATTATAATAATGATGAAATTCTAACTCAGTTACTATCTGTGAGAACTAGTAACAACTACTAGAAACAAGTTTAAACCCATAAAGAAGTCGATGAAAAAAGTTAATTTGGATCAATGTGACATATGCAAATGGAAAATACTAAGCCAACACCATCACTGTAATAGCAGATATCTTCTATGAGAATATTGTAGGTCAAATATCTTCAGCTCAGTTTAAGTTTTTTTTTTATTATTAGTTGTTTTTATTTATTTTATATAGCGCTGGTGCTCAAGGACGCTTTACAAACAGTAGGAGAACAAGAAAAGCAATAGCCTTAAGAAGGTAGAGAAAATGGGAGACTAATAATAAATAAAATAATGACAAAAGACACGAGAACGAGTAACAAGAGAGAAACTCATTTCTGTCTTTCAATAGTTATGTTTCCATCCACCTATTTTTATGCACATAAAAAAAAACGTTTTATGGAAACACCATGATGCAAAAAAAAAAAAAGTATGCGCATAACTGAGTAGGATAAACGTTTTATTCGATAAGAAAAGATCAAAAATCACGATGGAAAACACGATACAAACTCCAGTATGTGCATTAAAAAGGTCATGTGATTTTGTTATAAGAGATCATGTGATGATATAAATGTGTATGAATGGACAAACCAGCCGGCTCAGTACATTATAAAACATCTGAACTCTTGTTTTGGTCATTCTTAAACGCCTTACAGTTCAAGTATTAGTGTTATTATATTATATTATTCAAGACCTCCAGAATCAAGAGCATCTTAGCTTCGCGTCTGACACCTTTAAAGCCACTACGCGTTCACTGCGTTTCAGGATTACCCTCTGAGGTGCAAGTCATTTATTAGATGAAGAAAAGATTAGCCGCATTTCCACTGTCGGGCATGTGCAAGCCAGGGCTTTTATCGGGCAGGGCCAGGCCAATCGCAAGGGGGGGTTGAGCAGTGAGGCAGAAATCATGTCGCGTTTCCACTGTCGGGCTAGTACCTCGCAGCGTGTCATGCAAACCCCGCCCCCAGAATCTCCCCCGAATCAAACGTCACACAACCCGCCCACTTCAGCGGGAATCAGGCGGATAATGCATGCATGAAAGAAAAAAAGGTAGCCTAGTTTCTGCTTTCACCCACCCATAAAATGCTCGGTTTACATGATTTGATTAATATCATCGTATCCATATACTTTATAAATAATATTTCAAACCTCCTCCGGTGTTTATTGTTTTAGAAAATATCTTAAATCTTTTTTTCAGATAGGCCTTTGGAAAATGAAAGTTTAATATGGCTTTAAAATGGTTTGATTTATGTACTGTTTATAGGCTACCTAAATTATTATAGCTAGATTTTATTGGGTTTTATATTGATTTTATTATGTCTGATATTTGTAATTATTTAAATTATTTCAATATATCTTGGGCTATTTTATTAGGATATGACACTATTGTTTTTGAGTCTACAAAAATAGACACGAAACTTGTAAATTTTCATGTCTTTCTGTGGTATTTATGTTGTGTATTATCTTCAAAATAAATAAAAACAGAAGCCGCTCGCAGCATCAACAGAGCTGTGAAGAGAGCGCTCTTTTGCTCGGTCTAACATTCACATACAGGCAACTAAACGTGCACAAACACCTTTTAAACTTGACAAAAACTCTCGATAACCTTTACTGTCTGCTGTGTCTTTAATGCGGTGTAAAGATTATTATGCGTTATTGAAACATTAAGGAGGATGCAGCAAAGTCACTTATAAATGAAAACTTTATCAATTTACGCAACAGCCTTACATTTAAAAGGGAAACATAAGGGCGATTATACGCAAAAAGACCCCAGACTAAATGGCTAGATGTTTTCTTTCCCTTATTTTTTTATTTGGTTATCTGTTTGGTGCATGTACTCTTGTGCGATCGGAAAACTAGTGTCTGCCTCTCCTTTCACTCCGCCCCGAAGTCCCAGCTAGCCCTCTTTGGCCCAAGGTATTCAGCGGGCTGAAAACGGCCGGCTGCTGGGCCCGAGAAAGCCCCGCTTTGGCTCCGGAAGTGATAGTGGAAACGTGACTGGCCTTGGCTCGCTCACTTTAGGCGTGATAGTGGAAACGCGGCTATTGATCCAGCTTCTCTTATCGCAGCAAATTCCATTTTTACTGTTGATATTTGGCGCCAGTTAATCAGGAAGTGATGATTTTGTTCGCTTTGACTTTGTCATTGTATTTGCACTGTCTGTATTTTGCACTGTCTGGAGCCAGCACCTAAGCTTTCCACTCATCATAGCTCACGTGCTGCTGATGATGTTACAATAAAAGTGATTTGATTTGAATGCAAACGCAGCTTTTTTTGCATATCTTTTATGCTAAAATCCACTTTTGAGCATAAAGTTCATTCGCATTTTTGGATGGAAACAGTTCATGAGTGCTTATGTGCATTTAGGAGAACTAGGCAGCACATTCAGAGCTGCAAGATGGATTTAATTAAATATTCTTATTATTAAAATATCTGAATGAGGATTAAATGACTGAGTTGGTCTTTGAGAATGAAAACCAACCTGTTTGTTCCTGCAGATCTTCCTGTTTGACTGTGAATGTTTCTTCAATCTTCACATCTTCACTCTCCTCTTTAATAAACGCCATCTTTATAACAGTGTGGAGATCAGTCGCTTCAGCAGGAGTTTTTCTCTGTGTTTGGACACTTTTTCCTGTTTAAAATAAATAAAACAATGAACAAACAAAATAACTTCTTAACACTTACTTCAACAGTTTCTTTATAGGAGAGTTATTAACAATAAGAAATCAGGTAAGTTCAAGCAAGAAACAATAGCCACAAATGACCTGATTAAAACTAGTAATGTTACTCCATTTCTTATATAGTCGTAAACTTAGAATGGAATGACAATATACTATTTAATAAATTAAATTTTCAATAAAGAACTTATTACACACATCTCTGTAACTTTTTTTTTTCTTTGTAACTTTATTCTTTATGTATGTCCTTAATTGTTTTGTTTGTTTTATTTAGCTTATTGTCTGCTTACAGCAATGCATAGCACTTTTTTTGCACAAGACAAATTTCCTCTTGAGGACAAAAAGTTTATCCTATTTCACTCACAGTAATGAGGGCTATATTGTATAAAGGGTAAAATAATATTGTCAACAGCAGGTACATAATTTAGCACTGAATGAAAAAAAAATGAAACTTTAATCAATCGCTTTATATAAGTGTAAACGCTTTAAAACAAACCTTTCTCCAGTTGAATCACAGCGCTGGAACGGCGCAGGCTTATGACGTCACACGTCGCGCCAAAATAAAAGTCTTTTTAACCCTTTTTTTTGCCACTTACTGTTGCAGTCACGACTTATTGATACATTTCTCCTTCGTTTCCACTTTCTCACAGACGCACATATATTCAGTATTTGGAGTTGATCAAAACTTTTACTCTAAAGATTTTAAGACAATTAAAAAACTTTGAATCCACTAAGACTAAGTGTTTAAAGCAAAAATCTCAACATTCTAAAAGGTATAATAAATAATCTAATGAGTGTTTGGAGCTGAAACTTTACAGAAAAGGAGGTAAAATAGGTGTCCTCCATGTAAAAATTATTCATTACTACTACACGTTTTAGTTCTTCTAACTAGTCATGACTTATATATAGTTTATCTCTGCGTTTGGACACTTTATCCTGTTAAAAATTAACAAAGCAATAAAAATGTAAAATGAATAAAACAATGAACAGAAAGAAAATAACTTCTCTTCTTCTTATATGAGAGTAATTAACAAAAAGAAATCAGATAAGTCTGAGCAAGAAACTATAGCCATATTAGCTGATTAAAACTAGTAACATAACTTTATTCTTATATATAGTGATGTAAACTTAGAATGGAATGACATTATACTGTTTAATAAATTAAAGCTTCAGTAAGACACTTCAGTAAGAGTTTCCCATGATGGAAGGGCATCCGCTAAGTAAAACATATGCTGGATAAGTTGGTGGTTCATTCTGCTGTGGTAACCCAAGAATAATAATGGGACTAAGCCAAAAAGAATGAATGCTGAGCACTGTATGTCCAATAATGTTTAATCTGAACTGTGTGCTATTCTTGATGGAAGCAGATCTGTCTGCAATTATGTTATAGGATTTGAAAATTTTAATTATAAACAGATATATTTTGAATGTTTGAGTGAAGGATAATGAGTGAATGACTAAAAATTAGTGTTTGAAAGAGAAAGTAATGAAGTGTGCGAGAGACCAAACAGAGTTAAATTTAAAAAAAAAAACTAATTTATTTGATTAGCCCTAAAGAATTTTTGATTTCATACATCTTCACATTCAAATATGCAGAACCACACCATCACATCCCTTTACCACCCCATCACAATAAAAAATGTGACAGGGTGGTAAAGTGCATGCAAAAATGGCTGCAAATATCCCCTGTGGTCAAGTTCCTCACCTAGCATACCTTCATTCAATCTGAAAATTTACTCTTCTTTGCTTTATAAATGTAAAAAAAAAAACAGCTTACCCTATCTATTTTGCGTGACAGAGTGGTTCGGTAAGCTTGACAGACCCTGTCTAACAAGAAAAAAGAAAAAACAAAACAAATGTAAATACATTTTTGTAATTCCCTGCTTTTAGTCAATTTTGTTTTGTGATGTAATTTAAAGCAAAAGTACATCATTTACAGATGAAACAAGTTAGTGTGACGGGGTGGTAAGTCACCTGGGATGCACACAAATCAGGAAATATTTACAAAAAATATATAAAATGTATAAATTAAATATATCTTATGAAAATAGAAACAAACATATAAACCTCAAAACAATAAAAACTTAGGAGGGAAAAAGTCATTTATTTGGTGATATTTTAGGTGCAAATTCAGTGCTGATCAGCACAGACATGTGCAATCTGTTATGTAATCATAAAAAAGTATATAAAATAAAGAATATTACACTTTAACAATCATCATTTATAATGTATCATGCTAGCAGGAAGCCTTGAATTAATTACTTTAAGCTTTGGAAAAACAATTTAGGACATTTTTGTGCTTCTTGCAGCTCATCAAATGTTACAGACACAAATGGCACCCGTTTGACCCATAAATGTTTAGAGTAAAGCTTTTAATCAACTCCAAATACTGCATATAGGTGTGTCTATGTATGTGGGAAAGTGGAAAACGAGGGAGAAATGTATCAACAAGTCATGATTGCAACAGTAAGTAGCAATAAAAAGCTAAACAAAGACTCTTATTTTGGCGTGTCTTGTGACGTCATAAGGCTGCGCCGCTACCGTGCTGGGATTCAACTGGAGAAAGGTTTGTTTTAAAGCTTTTTACAAAGATACAAACCGATTGATTAAAGTTTTAGGTTTTCGCCCGATGATATGATATACCTGCTGTTGACAATATTGTTTTAACCCTTTATACAATGTAGTACTATTTTATTCTCAGTAACTGAGGACTGTTTAAATGAAGAAAAGTGTGTAATGAGTGTATAAAAGAAACCTTTTACCTGATTTACTTTTGGTTAACTACTCTCATATAAAGAAACTGTTGAAGAGAAGTTATTTTGTTTCTGTTCATTGTCTTATTTATTTTAAACAGGATAAATTGTCCAAACAGAGAAAAACTCCTGCTGAAGCGACTGATCTCCACACTGTTATAAAGATGGCGTTTATTAAAGAGGAGAATGAAGATGTGAAGATTGAAGAAACATTCAGAGTCAAACAGGAAGATCTGCAGGAACAAACAGGTTGGTTTTCTTACTGATATATTTTTATAATAAGAATACTATATTAAATCCATCTTGCAGCCCTGAGTGTGCTGCCTAGTTCTACTAAATGCACATAAGCACCCAGGAATGAGTTTATTTCTTGTTTCTTTGTTCTCGTGTCTTTTGTCATTATTTTTATGTATTATTAGTCTCCCATTTTCTCTACCTTCTTAAGGTTATTGCTTTTCTTGTTCTTCTACTGTTGGTAAAGAGTCCTTGAGCACTGGCCCTATATAAAATAAATAAAAACAATAAATAAATAAAAAAAGTTTAACTGAGCTGACGATATTTGACCTACAGTATTCAGTATTAAAATATATCTGGTATTATGGTGATAGTGTTTTCTGTGTTTTCAGTGTTTTTTTTTATCATTTGCAAATGTCATGTTGATCACAATTACCTTTTTTTCCATCAACTTCTTTTCAATTCTGACTTCTTTATGGGTTTAAACTTGTTTCTAGTAGTTGTTACTAGTTCTCACAGATAATGTCTTCGAATTGCATCATTATTATAACTAATTACCAGGGCTATTGTGTTTAAACAGGGTTTCCGCAAGTCATAAAATGTTGTAAATTCCAAAATCCAAATTTCAGGCCTTAAAAAGTCTTAGATTTACTGAAATGTTGTGTTGTAGGTCTTAAATCTTTTTTAAACAAGTCTTCATCTTCCTTTGTTCATGTTTTGCTACCCAATCTGGCCAAAACCCATACAATCACCAACAATCCATCTCAATAAAACTTTCAACTTTTCATTCAAAAACGTCATTTTAACTGTATTTATTATAATGGTTTAAGTATTTTCCTCACAATAACATTTGTTTAAATGTGCTCCATGTATTTACTGCTGAAGACATCAAGCACAGATTGTTGTGTAGATTTAGTTTGTTATAGTTTTTAAAACATTTAAAACATTTGTTCATTTTTAATTATTTTTTAAAGAAAGTTTATTTAGGAAAGAAGTGTGTGGATACAAGTAAAGCTTGCTTGTTTTGACACAATATTTAAAAAAGATTTTGCAAAAAAATATCTAAAATATTAAAATGTATTATTATTCATTTGTCATTGTATTAATAAATGTATTAAATTATAATATGTTTGATAGGACAAATAAAAATCTTTTCATCTGGGGCATTTGAAAAATTCCTTAGCCTTATGAGTATAAAATTTCATTTATAATTGTCTTAAAAAGTCTTACATTTAACATGGTAAAAAAAAACCTGGTTTATAGTGTGTTAAAAAACGTGGATGCCCCCAATTTTAAATATGCTGAATGAAATGGACACTTAGATCATTAAGTATTATAAAACATTGTACAGTATTCTAAACTATATGATCGTGTGTTGGGACAACATGAGACAAAACTTAAAGTGGAACAATAACGCTTAGCAATGCACTGACTACAACTGGCCAACAAACTTGTCTAAAAATGACTTTTGCTGCTTAAGAAATTATTTACAGCGTGCTGATGATATGCAAACATTTGAGTGTAAAGTTCGTCAGAATATTGACCATATTCTTCATGTACCAGCAGGTGCCACCATTGTAATCTTTTTGCTTGAGACTTTTTTTTTGAAAAAAGTCAAGGTTTTAAAACGCCAATATTTTTTGCTGTACCGTTCCCACAGTATATTTAAGTTTTTTTATGTCTTGTTTTTTACGTTTTTCAGGAGAACCGTATCTCCAGCAGAAAAGTTCTCCAAAGATGTCGTTTTAAATCGTAAAGAATTATGTGTTTCTGAAACAAATGAAGACAGCAGACGTCAATGATTCATTAGAATTATTCAGCCTGACATGTTTACTGCTCCAAAACACTTAAAAAGTTTCTCAAAAGAAAATATTTTGTGTTCAAAGGGGAAAAAGTGTTTTTTTTTTTACCAAGACATTTAAAAAGAATATATTTTAGAGCAGTAATCACCGTACCGTGAAACTGATATTTTTATTCAAGGTTATCATACTGTCAGAATCTTATACTGGCCCATGCCTAATGCTGCTTGATGTTGCAAAGCCATATTTTCTAATTTTCTTGTTTTTCTTTGTATGTATAGTCATGAACACACCTGTTTGTAGAGCAAGTAGCCGTTTATTATTCCTGGTCATTTCTCCAATAGGCAACTGAAGTTCTAAAACAATAGCATATGAGATCATGGCCCCATTTCAGAAAGAAGGTTAAGTGAAAACTCAGAGTATGTTAACCCTGAAATGAGAGAAACTCTGGGTTTTCTGTTTCAAAATAGCTGGTTTGTCAAACTGGAGAAAGCAGGGTAAGTCAAGCCTGTTTCTAAAGGAGAGGTAACTTTAACTCTGAGTGGTCACTTACTCTGAAAACCTAACCTGATCAGTAGCAGGTTTTATCCTCTAAACTCTGAGTTTCTGTCGGTCTCCTCCCCTTTTTTAAAGATGAAGCGGTATTTCTCACTTAGCTTTATGTCCAGCCACCTATTTTTATGTGCACTTGGATGGGCTATGAGCATAAAAAATCAGTTGATAGAAACATCATGATGCACATAACTTTTAAATTAAAGTCATAAAAAAGATGCGTATAACTGAGTAGGATAAACTTTTTATTTGATGAGAAAAGATAAACTTACGTAAACTACAAAAGCACTTTTACTGAACAAATTCCAGTATGTGCAATGTAAAAGGTTTGTTATAAGAGATCATATGATGATGAAAATGTTTGAAAATCGCCAGTAAAGAGCACATTAAAGGTGCATTAGGTGATCTTCCACAATGCTAACAGCTTCGCATAAATCTCTACATCACAGTCCCTCCTCTGCCGTCTAGAGCCAAGCCTCCTTAAACACGAGCACAGCAAAAAAAAAAAATAAATAAATAAATAAAATATATATATATATATATATATATATATATATATATATATAGTTTCTTTTTTATTTTTTTTATTTTAATTTTTTTATTTTTTAATATTTATTTATATATATATATATATATATATATATATATATATATATATATATATATATATATATATATATGTATATGTGTATATGTTTGTTTACCCAATATATGCACTGATAATATCCACTGATTTTTATATAGTCGATCAAATGAACTTAAACTATTAAAAATGCAACAAACATTTGTTTTGGCCCAAACTACAAAAACAAACAAATGTAAGACTTACATTTAGTATTAGTTTTGCTTAAGTTCCACACTAGTTTGATCAGGTATAAAAGTCTGATGCATCTCCAATTTGTTGTTTAATGTAATGTTTGCACTTGTTAGACTATAAATCTCGTCACTAACGCTAAAGTCTGATAATCCTACATAAAAATGATCTTACGCTGACTTATTTCCTACTCAGTGGTGCATTGTATATGGTTGCCATGACAGCTTAAAGCCCTAAACTGACAATTCTGTCACTTACTCATCCTTTGCTTGTAATAGGCCTAAACATGTTTAATTCTCTTCCTTATGTTGAACACAAAAGAAGAAATTTGTAAGAATGCTGGAAAGCTGTATCCATTGACTTCCATAGTATTTGTTTTTTCCTGCTATAAAAGTTGTTACACCAATTGTGATGACACAACCGCGGCTTGCGCGTGTTGTCTGAAACACTTCACTGCTCTTGATCCGCGATATAAAGTTCATTACTATGCAGAAATCAAGCAGTGCGCACAAAAAATGATAAAGGCCGCGATGGAGGCGGGAAGACTTTTTTTTCCCATCGCACACACGATGAGAGCTGATGGAGCGCTCACATTTTCTCTGTCTGTTCTAGTTACCCATCTATCTTTCTATTTTTCTTTTCATCTGCACCAGGGCCTGCGGTAACTTTAACACATGTTGTTTAGTGTTTTTGTAACCTGCAACTCTTTATTTTACAAATTATATGTATCATGAAGAACTGTGTGCTTCTCAAGCTTTATGAGAAGTGTCATATATGTCTTTTCAGGTGCACTCAGAGGACAATCGCCTGTTATATCATTTCATAGATTGTCAGCATGATGTAGGCCTTTGTAATAATATTTATTCAATATAGTTATAATGACTTGCGTCTGGAAGGGCATCCGCTGCATAAAAACTTGCTGAATAAGTTGGCGGTTCATTCCGCTGTGGCGACCCCGGATTAATACAGGGACTAAGCCGACAAGAAAATGAATAAATGAGTTATAATGAAATTTATACATGATCAAACTAGTGTGGAACTTAAGCAAAACTAATACTAAATGTAAGTCTTACATTTGTTTGTTTTTGTAGTTTTGGCCAAAACAAATGTTTGTTGCATTTTAAATAGTTTAAGTTCATTTGATCGACTATATAAAAATCAGTGGATTTTATCAGTGCATATATTGGGTAAACAAAAATTGCTACCTTTTACTGTAATAAGTCCCCATCCCCAGAAGTGATTAAGGTTAGTACACAGTCATAGCCATACATGCAAAGATGTGTGTGTGTATATTATGGGTGGAGCCGAACCCGAATACGGTATTTGGAAAGGCACGAATAGCGTGTTTTTACGAATACTTATTTAAACAAATACTTGAAAAATTATTTGTATTTGGGAGCAAGAAAAACATTATATCAAAAAGCAGCGTTTCCTCATGAGACCACAGTGCATACCCGCGTGAGTGAGTGAGTGAGAGAGAGAGAGAGAGAGAGAGACGTTTAGTCAGAAGTTGGAGGGCGCTTCTCCACAGCAACAGACAGAGAAGGCTTGGCTGAGCGAAAAAATACTTCACTGCATCACTATTTTTGTTAAATAGATTTTTGTACCTTAATTGGGTTCCAGATGCAGTTTATAAACTTGTAGCGGAGTTTGATCGGGATATTCCATTACGCTGCATTTTTGACGTTTGCAATCGGGTGCTCTCTGTTTACGCAACGTTAGCTCTGTTAGCGCGGTAATTTAGACAATAGACTGTTGACAGAGTAACGTTAACGTTCGTTTATAAAGGGTAAAACGATGCTTGTGCAGTTGTGTCGAATAGTATGCACTTATAGGAGTTATATTGTGCGTCTAAATTACTGTCTTTTGCAGACAGCAAGATATATGCTATAGGCTAGTTAACCTTAGCATAGCTTCCCGTCACTTTTTATTAACTTGAAACTCCTCAAATACATTTGGGCACCCAGAAAAAGAGTGCTGCTGAGCCATTTCTTGGTCCTCAACCAGTCAAAAAAAAAAAAAGATTCTTCAGGTTCTGTGTGGAAGCATTTTACAGTCAGTGGTGCTGCAGATAAAACAAACTGATACTGTATAATGTGTGCAAAAGTGAAATCAGCATAGGCAGGGATTTTAAACATCTGTCAACATCTTCTATGCATAATCATTCATTCATTTCTTTTCGGCTAAGTCCCTTTATCAATCTGGGGTTGCCACAGTGCAATGAACCACCAATTTATCCAGCATATGTTTTACGCAGTGGCTGCCCTTCCAGCTGCTACCCAGCACTGGGAAACATCCATACACTCTCTTTCACACACATACAATAGGGACAATTTAGCTTACCCAATTCACCTATATTGCATGTGTTTGGACTGTGGGGGAAACCGGAGCACCCGGAGGAAACCCACGGCAACATGTGGAGAACCCAGTCGGGGCTCGAACCAGCAACCTTCTTGCTGTGAGGCGACAGTGCTACTCACTGTGCCACCGCGCAACCTTCTATGTAATGTATTATCACATGCACTAAAAGCATCCTCTTCTGATACTGTCTGTAAACTAGAGGTCTGCATTCCCGCGGGCGCCGCAGGACCCGAACAGATTTCTGCGGCGTGGGAATAAATTTCCGAATAAATCGTGGGAGCGGTCGGTAACGGGTTTAATTTGGGACGGGAGCGGGCTGTCTAGCAATATCGTGGATATTGCTATGCGAATGAGAGAGAGAGGGAGAGAGAGAAAGAAAGAGAGCGAGCTTTGCCTGTGTGTGTGCTTGGTGCTTGTGTGTGTGTATGTTAGTGCGCGCGCGCGCGAATGAGAGAGAGAGAGAGAGAGAGCTTTCCCAGATAGCAAAATACACTCGGGCCAGTTCCGGCTAGATTCTCGCCTGCCAGAGACTTACCACTCAGCCCGGCTCCGGCTGCCGGACTCCGGATGCTTGTGGATTCACTGCCCGATTCCGACCCAAATCAATCGGGCCTGATGCGGCGGCCGTAAGCGAGCAGACGCTGCCGCATCCGCGCCGGAATCGGCCCGAGAGTAATGTGCGCTGCGGCGCGGAGCTGGCGCGACTCAGTATTTATATACCTTTATAAAAAACCTTTTGGTATTACATTGGTACTTGATACATGGTATTACAAGCCTTTGAGTTGATATAACAGCAAACGCCTGTGTGTCTGCTTGGTGCTTGTGTGTTTGTTAGTGCGCGCGCGCGTATGAGAGAGAGAAAGATTTGTCTGTGTGTGTGTGCTTGATGCTGTGTGTGTGTGTGTTTATACAGACAGCTTGGCTGTCTGGACTATATAGCTGGGGGATTTTCGGTTTTGTTCTCCCCCGCTCTTTAGCGGGATCGGGCGCGGCGGGCAGAAAACGGGGCGGGTCAGGCAGCGAGACAATAAATTCTTAATATAAGCGGGAGCGGTCGGGTTAGGGCTAAAACCTGGCGGGCGGGAGCGGGATTCAAAATTTAGTCCCGCGCAGATCTCTACTGTGAACCCCCCACAAGCATCAATCCCCTCAATCAGCACAGCTATGTTCTGCTAAATCCTCCACAAGCACCAAACCATCAACACAGCCACATTCTGCCCCAACAAGTCAGTTTCAAACATAAAAAAAAAAAAAATGTAAAAAAAACAAACAAACTTTGTGTCTTGTTTGTGGCAGGCAGATGACAATAGCAGGGCTGTATCTTTTAGTATTATATAGAATACTTTTGTTCTGCCAGATCTCCCAGGCAGGGTTTTATTTAGATTTATTTAGCTAATTTTAGTTTTTGGAATTCTGTCCATTGGAAAGAAGTTCTTTCAGAAGAAGAACAGTTTTTTGAAGTATTATTTGTTTTTATTTTGTCTATTCAGTGTCCTTCAACAAGAACGGTGGTGGTGGGGTTCATACTATTCACAATGGTATTTTATTAGTTGTTGGTTTAACCATGGATGAGATAATGGCTTCTATGTTATTTTCTTTTCAATGACGTTTCTTGTCACATGTTCAAAAACAACAACCAATATTGCATATCTATAATTTATATAATGGGTATAATTAAACAATACTTTCACTATAATGTAAATTAGAAGTGTAATAGAAAAAATATATATTTTTGCGCCATTTTGAATTTTACTCAAATACAAATACTTTTCCCCCCTCAACAAATACACATACAGATACAAATACCGGCTGTTCCGCACATCCCTAGTGTGTGTGTGTGTGTGTATATATATATATATATATATATATATATATATATATATATATATATATATATATATATATATATATATATATATGTGTTTGTGTATATGTACATACACACACACAGTATTCATAGCGCTTCACTTTTTCCTAATTTTTTATGTTACAGCCTTATTCAAAAATGGATTAAATTAATTTATTTCCTCGAAACACACAATAGCCCATAATGACAATGTGAAAAAATATATTGTTTAAATTGTTGCAAATTTATTTCAAAATAAAAAACCTAAAATGTCATAAATGTGGAGAAAGTAAAGCGCTATGAATATATATATATATATATATATATATATATATATATATATAAAGAAAATACAGTATGTCAAATGATAAGATCTCTGTGTGGAGCACTGGCTGTTGTCAGACTCCTTGTCGGATGTGCGCTATGCACATCAATATAGCAGCATTTGTTTTTTATGATACTGTATAACAATAGGCATCGTGGTGGCGCAGTAGGTAGTGTTGTCGCCTCACAGCAAGAAGGTTGCAGGTTCGAGCCTTGGCTGGGTCAGTTGGCATGAAAGCCGAAAAGAAAATGAATGATTGTATAACAAGAATTAATATTTTTACAGTACTGTGTAGGTTGGGTTTAGGGTTGGGGTGGGGTTAGGCTTTAAAAAATATAATTTATTGGGTAATTTAATAGATAGCATAAATAATGCTCAATACAACTACTGTTTTTACATTACTGTGACAGTTGGATTTAAGGTTGGGGTAGACGTTAATAAAAAACAACAAATGTGAAATTTAATAAATAATATAAATAATTCTCGTTAACTTTTGGCCGCAACTGTATCTGATCTAGCAAAAACCAAAATACTGGGGTAAAACAAACAGTCATATTTTAAAGACATGGCAAGGGAAATGGACTTTAATGCAGTGCTTCTTGTCCGATCTGAGACCCACCTCATATTCGTATGTCTAACAGGCAATAAAGATCACTGATTTTTAAAGAAATCAGATCTTAAACGTGACAATTTTGAAATTGAAAGACAGTTCACCGGAAGCCCTTGGACTGCCTGGCTAAAAATTAAATGTCTATGTGCATATAGCCATCTAGCTAACACAACAGATGTTGCATTAGAATTTGTATGAATAGGCTCATCTGTAAAAATATTTTTAATAGTTATATTATTTTTTGTTATTGGTCTTTAGTTTTTAAAGTTACTTATACAAATAAAAACAACTAATTGGAGATTTATATCATCTTGTCCCTTTTTAAGAAATAGTTACTCATTAAAAATTTACTCATGAGTAAAAAGAAGAGTTATTTTTTTACTTTTACTTGAGTAGATTTGTAGACATGTAACTTTACTCTTACTTAAGTGAAAAAAAATTGTAAGTAACAGTACTTTTACTCGAATAAAATATTTTATTACTCTTTCCACCTCTGCCTCTTTTGCTCTCTCCTCCAGTTCTGGGTTACAGATGATCTCTTTTCATCTGCTTTTGTTTGCAGTCACAGGAGCTCTCATTTCATTTTTCCTTTCTATACCACATCATTTACCTTCATGTTTGTCTCAGTATGTTATTGATCATTTGTGTGCATATTATTTTGTTACTCACCCTGTATTTGTTTCCAGGACCACTACTGATTGAGTGTCTGGTTGTTTTTTCCCCATGGCACTCCCTCAGTGTTCACCCGACCGGGTTTGATTTGTGCTTTTTCCAGGACTCACTCCTCAATAAAGACTTGATGTTTTTCTGCATTTGAGTTCACTCTTTTTTTTTGTTTTGTTTTTTACTCAAGACACAAATATTTTCTTTCTTATTTGTGTTAAAAATTTTAAAGATTTAGACAGATTCAGCTTTTGAGACTCTTTTGGTCTATGGTGATTTCTTGATTGCGAACATGTGTGGTAGTAATCAGGTCTGAGTGTGGCTAGAGAACTTGCAGAGAAATTTACAGCTTTCAAATTTATGTCTCATCAATATGACCAAAATGATCTGGGATCAATCATATAAGAATCTGCTTAAATGTACATGTGTGTAATAAACCCCAGGAGGTTGATATGACAAGATCAATCTAAATATGATCTGCTATGTTTTTACATTTAATGTGCATCAAAATTAAGGTTTGTGTAGCCAATGTTTTACTGCATTTTTACTTCAGCTTTTGATGAGAGTTTAATGATTTACTAAAAACGGAAATTTTTTATTTCAGACCTAATTAAAGACTATGAGGAGAGTAAAGAGGAACATCGTGTCAAAATTGAGGGCAAAACTCATTTAGAGACTGATGGTATTTTAAAAATGAGAGACAAGAGTTGTTTTACCTGCACTCAGTGTGGAAAGAGTTTGGCAAACAAAAGCAAACTAAAGATTCACATGAGGATCCACACTGGAGAGAGACCATTCACATGCACTCAGTGTGGGAAGAGTTTCTGCCACTTAGCAAACCTTAATCAACACATGATGATCCACACTGGAGAGAAACCATTCACATGCACTCAGTGTGGGAAGAGTTTCAGCCACTCAGCAAACCTTAATCAACACATGATGATCCACACTGGAGAGAAACCATTCACATGCCACCAGTGTGGGAAGAGTTTCAGCAAATCATCAACGCTTTACAGGCACATGAGGATCCACACCGGAGAACAACCATTCACATGCACTCAGTGTGGGAAGAGTTTCAACCAACCATCAAACCTTTATCTACACATGAGGATCCACACTGGAGAAAAACCATTCACTTGCACTCAGTGTGGGAAGAATTTCATCCACTCATCACACCTTAATGAACACATGATGATCCACACTGGAGAGAAACCATTCACATGCACTCAGTGTGGGAGGAGTTTCAGCTTATCATCAACGCTTAATAGACATATGAGGATCCACACCGGAGAGAAACCATTCACATGCACTCAGTGTGGGAAGAGTTTCAGCCAATCAGCATCCCTTAATCGACACATGAGGATCCACACTGGAGAGAGTCCATTCACATGCACTCAGTGTGGGAAGAGTTTCAGCCTATCCTCATACCTAAATAAACACCTTAGGATCCACACTGGAGAGAAACCATTTACATGCACTCGTTGTGGGAAAAGTTTCAGGCACTCATCACACCTTAATCAACACATGATGATCCACAATAGAGAGAAACCATTCACATGCACTTGTTGTGGGAAAAGTTTCAGGCACTCATCATCCCTTAATCAACACATGATGATCCACACTGGAGAGAAACCATTCACATGCACTCAGTGTGGGAAGAGTTTCAGCCTATCATCATACTTTAAAAGACACATGAAGATCCACACTGGTGTGAGAGACTATATGTGCTTGGAGTGTGAGAAGACTTTTATTACAGCTGCAGAATTAAAACGACACCAGAGGATTCACACTGGAGAAAGAGGTTTACCTAGGAACTTTGAAAACACATGAGAGGATTCACACTGGAAAGGAATTGTAGACATGATCAGTGTGTACAGAGTTTCACTCATTTGGGGCAGCTTAATAAACTCATGGGATGGTTTTTCGGTATGGTGTGAACACGTGTAGCAGCATAGAAAAAGAGCTTCCATACACACTGGTATTAATCCTCCTTTTTACATCATATATGATAGCTTAAACCATATACATATACAAAAAGGCTAGGACAAAACAACCATTGAAACCTGAAACATTTTTAGATTTTGCCGATTTTTTAGACGGCATGTTTATCATAGATATCAGGTATCAGGTCCTGTTCCGTAAATGATGTTCATCATTTTGACAGATTTGCCCTCACAATTGTTCTGTAATCTTCTTATAGTAATAAAAAAGCACAGTAATTTTAAACTGAAAGTGTCCGTGTTGCACTGTTAATGACAGAAGCAGTCTTTGCTTTCACCATTAATTTTGGCATGAAGCGCACCTTTACCGTTGACATTACATCTCAAAATGGTCATTAAAAATAATGCATGTGACAGCAATAAATTAAATGTTTAGTCTGCTCACATATGACTATCAGTTTTGGTACGTTTCAAAAGATAAGCTACCCATTTATTCTGAGTTCAGACTGCATGATTTTAGCCCAGATTTTGACTGGCCGACAGGTTTTGAGAAATCGTGACAAATGCCTGAAATCACAGGGAAATTGGTGCTCATGCATGTGAGTGACAATCACACAGTATGAACTATCAAAGGCGCGATCTGAGAGATTTCGCTGATGAGTTGCAGATACCCGTGAGATATTTGGCGTGCTGAATATCTGGAACTGTTGGCGATTCAAATCATGCCGTGTAAAATGAGTTCTAAATGAAAATATTATCCGCGATCACCCACAGCCAATGAGAGAGCAGTTTCCACTTATGTATGTGTGTACCTGCTGGCCAGCGGGAGGTTGGGGGAGAAGTTAAAAGTGCTCGTTTTTAGTTCATTTGGACCCAAAAAATGGAGGAAAAACTAGTGGAGGTTTGACAAGAGCACCAGTGTCTGTTTGGTGTTTCATAAAGAAAGTTAAAAAAGAAAGTTGATGAGAAATTGCTAATTCCCTTCAAACCCAGGTGAGCAAATATGTACATTTTCTACCCCATTAAAGGCTTCTTTCTCAATATGTAGTTTAATAACAAAAGATATACGACATGTTTTTGGCTGAGAGACGTAGTTTGGAAGAAGTTGTCAGCGATTCTTCCTATTGTAAAGTCATGCAATGTGAAAGCCCATGTCGCCGATCTAGCTTGCAGTGTATATACTATCGCTGTCAATTATACATTGTCGTTGTATTTTCCACTGTCTGTTGTTTTCACTGTCTGTATTTTGCCCTGTTGTTGTATTTTGCACTGTCTCTATTCTGCACCGTCTGTATTTAGCAGTGTCGTTGTATTTGCAATATTTGTATTTTGTAATGTCTGGAGCCAGCACCTAAGCTTTTCACTCATCATAGCACACGTGCTGCAGATGATGTGACAATAAGGCCGTACTCACACTAGGTACAGTTGCCTCGAACCGGGCCAAAGCACGCTTGTCCCCCTCTCCCGTCTCCCCCGACGGCCCGCACTCACACCACAATCGGGCCTGGGCACGCTTACGTCATCACTGCTGCGCTGTTCAGTGAGAAGCTCTCTCACTCAGCAGCACAGTGGAGATTTATCTAGTTATATCGTTTCAGTCGTTTGATATGCAGTGACATGCAGTCAAATATTTCGCCAAACAATCCTTAGGGATGTTGTGACATGCAGTCAGATATTTCGCCAAACAGATCCGCCACTTTTGGTTCACACAAACAATCATAAAGCTCTCGTGCTGCAGGAATGAGGAGGTTTGCTGAAGGTACGCAGCTGTCATGCAGTGAGGGGTTTGTGTTTTTAATAATCTACGGCAGTTTGCGTTCACTGAACAGTAGAATGAATAATAAATCCATATGAAACAGTCCCTTAAAAGACACGTCTTGCTTTCAGTTTCTGGCTTTGGCGCGTTTGCATTCACACACATGCGTACCCCGCCAAAGCCCAGGTTAACCGCGCTCAGGCCCACCTCTTCCAACCGGGCCAGGGCCGGCCAAGTGAACCGTGCTTGAGCCCGATTCAGCGCACTCACACTTCTCAAACGATCCGGAAAACGGGCCTGAGCACGGTACGGATGGCATAGTGTGAGTAGGCCCTAAAAGTGATTTGATTTGATTTGAAACAAAGCAGCGACAAAATGCTAGCCCAGATAGTCATGCAGTGTGAAAACATCTGTGACAAGACTACTTTGAAAATCATGCAGTCTAAACTCGGCATTAAAAGCGAATCGTACAGCAAGCAACACTGACTGTAACAATTTTACTCCCTGTTATGAACAAACCAGTTGATCTGCAGGGATGAAAACATTCATCATACAAGAAAAATAGCTGAAGTAACAGGTATCACTGACGTTCGACATGAATTAAAGCACATCTTTATGTCCGAGTTTTGATATGAATCATCAATGACTTAGAGGAGAGAGGCACAACAGTGGCCATACCAATTTAAACGGGGGCCTGTGGCCTCACCCCTACTTCCGCTCCTGAATTGTACATACCACCAACCACACAATTCAAAATATCAAATTCACAACAAACCCTTGGTTCCGATTTGGCAAATATCAGTAAGCAAGTGATGTCACATCATTCCCACAATAATAACAACACAAACTTCCCATTACGAAGATAAAGAATAAAAACAAAATAATAGTAACACTTTAAACAAAAATCACATCACTCAGAGATAAATAAAATGAAAAGCCCGGCCAACGAAGAGGTGAAAAAGGTAAGGATAAGCAAGAGGTACAAAGAAGAGTATGCACAAAGGAAGCAACAGTAACTGTAGAAGTAGAAAATGTAAAAGATGCAAGAAGATTTGATATAATCAAAGCAGTCACGGAGCTGATTGGAGAAGGAAGAATTCTGGCGGTGAGACCCAAACAAACAAGGGAGTATGAAGTAACAATGGAGACTGAAGATTACAACGAAATTTTAATAGACAATGGATTGACAATTAAAGGAGTGAAATCTGAAGTACGGAGGTTACAAAACAGAGACTATGTTGTTTCGTTCAAGCATCTGCCTGTTACCTACCTGATGAAGAAATTTTAAAATTCTAAAATTAAAAGAAGATTGTATCCTGGCACAAACATAGAAGATGGAACAAGGTTTGTAAAAAACAGATTTCCAGAAGAGATGTCCTTTTTACCATACAGTACCAAAATCGAGACGGCTGAAGGGCCACAGCACTTTAGAGTCATGCACACCAATCAGGTAAAAACCTGTTGACTATGCATGAGCTCAGACGAAAGGGGACATTTCGCAAGGACCTGTACAGCTGTGTCAAGCCCGGATTGTAAATTGGCCCTAATACCTGCAGGGAGCTTGTCGCGCTGAGTTGGCTTGCTTTATCCTTGCAGGCCTAACTTCGCTGGTGAAAGTGCTTGTGGGGTTTCTGTAGTGTAGTGGTCATCACGTTCGCCTTACACGCGAAAGGTCCTCGGTTCGAAACCGAGCAGAAACAGTGCTCTTCTTTTGGCAAGAAAATAATAGCATCCACTGCTTCACCAGCAATGATCGTCAACAGGCACCTAATCAAAAAGGGTTATCTGCTTGGTTTGCCTGAAGGTTTCCGTAGTGTAGTGGTTATCACGTTTGCCTCATATGCAAAAGGTCCCCAGTTCGAAACTGGGGGGAAACAACCTCTGCCTTTTAGGACAATTGTCAAATCAGGCTTCTGTTGAGTACTGACGTTCACTGAAAACATTCTTTCTGCAGAGCGTTGTGAGGCTAGAAGTTTGAATTCAACTCAGTGTTTACCGCCCCTCGCGGTGTCGCAAACTTGCGTAGAATCTGATTTCTTTTAGCTTTGTGTTGTGCATGAGCAGGTGGCCAGTGCGTTTGCTGGCCCTCCACGGTGCAGACCGTACAAGAAAGCTCAATAAAAAAAGTCTATAAATACTTGAAGCAGCACGGGCCTATTGGTTTCCGTAGTTTAGTGTTTATCATGTTTGCATTACACGCTAAAGGTCTCCTGTTCGAAACTGGGCGGAAGCATACAATTAGTGGACACTTTTTTCCAAAGCGACATACAATAGTGGAGGTATTCAACAAGACGAGGCAATGCATACGAAAAAGGGCTATTTATTTCAAGTAATTAGTTTGTGCTCAGAGAATTTAGTGCTGGAGTAGGAGTTTCGTTTTCTTTAGAGAGAGGGATATTCACCGGGGTTCGGGTGTACTCTGAAGAGATGGGTGTTAGCTGTCGTTTGAAGGATACCAGTATATCCGTAATCCGAGTGGGAATGGGAAGGTGATTCCACCAGCGTAGAACATTGAATGAAAACATTGTGGAAAGTGACTTTCAGTCTCTCTGCAATGGTACCACAAGACAGTGCTCTCACCCTAACCGGAGGCTCCTGTGGTTATCACGATGGCTTTACAAGTGGAGGGTCTCCTGTTAGAAACTGGGCAGAAACATTCAGATTTGCGTTTACGCACATTCTCAATTGGCTCTCTGCTCACTGGATGATCCACGATACTAGGGCGTGGATCTGTCAAATGTCATGACTTGACGTTGTACGAGGATTTGACGAAAAAATGCCCTGCAAACCTTAAAAATCAACGCCATCCCAGGACAATTCTTTTGATCCCCTTTCAGTGCACTTGCATTTAAACCCGCATGATGCAGCGCTTTGTCAGTGTTACTGTATCATTCAGACATGGTAGCAGAGAGTTGAAGACTTCAGCCTGAGCGCACTGCCGCAGGCTCGGTTTGTCAGAAGTGGGATTTCGAACCCACGCCTCCAGGGCTGCGACCTGAACGTCAGCTGCAGAAGGATAGTCCGACAATATTTCACAAATGTTGAAGATGAGAGCCAATCGGAGCGATTCGCTCTAACATTGTAGCCAATCACGTTGCAGCGCTTCAACATTTGCAGCCAATCACAGACCGGAATTCTTAACATTTTCAACATTTGACCAATCAGAGTTGAGACAATGTTGAAGCCGGGGGGAAGGAACCGTTCCAGGATTCATCGCTAGGTGTGCAGTCAAACAGGTTAGTCAGATGTCCATCAATTTTCCGAACTGAGCCGAAGGTACACGAAGGAATGACGCGGTCCTCTGGAGGCAGGTCAGAGGTCAAAAAAGTTCATTGACCATCAGTGATATTCAACGAACAGCATCATTCGACAGAGCACAGCATCGTTTTGCTTACAGTAAAGGATTTTTTTCGATAGTGATTTCTTAAAAAAGGTAGGAAAAACTACACAATTGCACGAATTAATGTTTTAGTGTGTTGTATTTTAAATTTGGATACTTTAATTCAAAACCGTTTAATTTATAGGAGAAAAATGTCTGGAAAATCTCATAAAGCCATGTCAGACGCTGACTGGATTTCATGTCTGAAAAAGTTTACCAGCACAGGAGTTTGGCCATCAAATGAGGGAAACAGGCCAGCTCCTCGACAAAAAAAAGTGGCATGAGATTTATCAAAGGGTGTGTATTTCGTTTACATGATATAACGTTTGTTGAAATTTGCTTAACAGAGTAACGTTAACTTGTTAGGCTTCAGTACAGTATCTGTGTAAAACATGTCATACTTGTTTTTATATATTAAAGTGTTTTAAATTGCATGTATTTTGAGATTTACGTCAAATAATTTAGTAAGTTTGACCGTTTATGAGAGAGATCTGAAAAGGTGGGGGAAAGGATTATGAGTACAGTATACAGCATGTGGTTTTAAGGCTTGAAATGTTCCTGTCCAGTTCCTTTTATTCTTCCTTTCGTTTTTGGAGATACTAACTGTACGATTATATATTAGACAAATATTAAACACATTCTAGAAACAGTGGTAAATTAATTTACAGAGCTATTGTGTGCTTTATTAAGGGAGTCATTGAGTAAAAATTCTTATTTACTTATAAAAGTTTTTTGTATTGTATAAAATTATTTAATATATCTTTCATGATTTTTTCAGATTGAGAAATGCCCATTGCAATCTCGTGGGCAGAGGACTTTGCTTGGAGGTGTGCTGAAATGCACATGTGGTTTTCACACTCAAAAGGTACATTTTTGAGTCAATATGTGTTTATTTTTATTTACTAGAATGCCTTTCCTTTTTTATGATTATATGTATTTTTGTGATTTATTTTCAGCAGAGTACTGCTTCTGCTGCTCCAGCACAAACGGTGCAACAACCTGCCCCTAATGCAACTGCTCAGGAGGGGATGGAGACGAGACAACTTGAGGCCCAGCCCCAGCCCCAGCCCCAGCCCCCGTCTACTCCATCAGTGGCATCAAAGATTTCACCGCAATTGTCAATGGTACATTTTTTTAAAAATCAAAAGAAATGACAATTTCAGTGTTTCAGGTGTTCAAGGTGCTCAAAGTTCAGTTCAAAGTTCAAACATAGGAGAGAAAATAACAAAAAGCAATAAAAAAGTTGAGGTGTTGCTAGAGACCTGCTTCTTTTCACACCTCTTGCACAGTGGGGGGTAGCAGACACTTGCTGATTGGTCGGTTTGAGTTTCTGTGATTGGATTAAATTACATGGTCAGGTCATGGTCAGGGTCACAGTTTTTAAAGCTACATTTTAACCTCTTGTCTTCAGATAATGATACATAATAAACACTAATAGTAAATACTTTGTTTTGATTTTAAGTGTAAGCTAAAATTTGTACTTTTTCTAAACAATGAGTCTGAGGTATTATCTTGAAATAGTACTTATTTAAAAATATATTTATTTATTTTTTTGCTACCACAGGTATGATAATATTTTTTCTTCTGGGAGAAAGTCTTATTTGTTTTATTTCGAATACATTTTTCAAGGTCAATATTATGAGCCTCTTTAAGCTTTTTTTTTTTTTTTTTTTGGCATAGTCTACAAAACAAACCATCGTTATACAATAACTTGCCTAATTACCCTAACCTGCCTATTTAACCTAATTTACCTAGTTAAACCTTCAAATGTCACTTTAAGTGGTATAAAAGTGTCTTGAAGAATATCTAGTCAAATATTATTTACTGTCATCAGGGCAAAGATAAAATAAAACAGTTCTTAGGAATGAGTTATTAAAACTTTGATGTTTAAAAAATGTGCTGAACAAATCTTCTCTCCATTAAACAGAAATTGGTGAAAAAAAATTAAAAAGCGGGCTAATAAATCAGACTTCAACTGTATATAACACATAGTGTGATGTTGTAATATACAATGTATGTTTTTGTTAAAATGCATGATGTAATAATAGTACAATAATACTGTATATAACATAATGCAATACTTTATTCCTTTGGTAGTAAAAAAAAATATTTGTTTGCATATTGCTCCTTGATCCAGAAAACTATAATTTTAATCAAAGCCTAATGTGTCACATTTATTTGCAATGAACCAGTTATCTAATTAAATCTATTCTAACTTATGTCTTATTTCTACCTGTAAAAGTAGCAGAGGGTGGTAGTAAAAAACAGCTTGAACTCGAAACACTGTAGAGAAATCAAACTGATTGTACAACTGACATATAGAAAGATAGTTTCTAATTGCTTGAAATTTAATGTGATATACACTAATGTTCAAAAAATTATTATTGTTAAAATATAAAAGCTTAATATTACTCATATATTGCAAGAATTCTATTGTGTTTGATTTGCTCATAAATTAAGTAGATTTTATTTGATTTGAATTGTTTGAATAAATTATTCTTTATTTATTAAATTTGCCTATATTATTATTTCACATTATTCCAGTTTTTACTAAATATTTGATCAAATAAATGTAGCCTTGATAAACATAATTAAAACATAAAAAAATACATTGAGCAGATCGCAAACCTTTGAACAGTAGTGTACATTTTGCCATTGTGAACACCATCACAGGTTGGGTTCAGCCCAGTTCAGCAGTGTGTAGTGCTTCTACACCAAACACGGCTGTAAGTATTGTCATAATCCACATAGCATTCTGAGAGAATTTGGTATAAGCATTTTTTTTTACGTAAATTCGTATTTTTGTTAAGTACAGTCACATTAAATCTCAATAAAACATCTCTGTAGTATTCTTTTAGTGCATAAAAACATATATATTAAAAATAAGCACCATTCTTTAAACTTTTTGTTCTGCATAGAAGCGCTGTGACAAAATTTGACAGTTTAGCAGCAATCATTCATTTCCAATGTATTTTATACATTAATGTTCAAATAAAGTAATGGTTGCAAAAAATTCTGATTAGTTAATGTTACTTATAGATATATATTTACAAAATGCACTTTGTTATACTGCTTGTTTGTACAGACACAGGACCTTCAATATTCTGCCCCCGTCCTCACATCCACTACGGCAGTGACCAGTTCCACAGAGCCGTCCGGCATTGTCTCAGTAAGTAATTTCATATTTTCTGTCCAAAAAAAGGTAATTTGGTTTGCATATTTGCTGCCCCAGCTGAATTCACACAAAGTGGTTTTAAGACCAGCCAATTAAATTGACTTGATGTTAATTAACTAAGCTTGATATATGTATAAATGTTAACAAAATAAAGAGAGGAAAAAATAAAGCAAAGAATCACAAAAATTACGCCTTCTGTTGTTGATATTTTATGTTCACAGTAGTAAAAGAAAAGAAAATGGATGGAAAAGAAGTAGAAAGGAAAAAGAGAAATAACTGTATTGCAAAATACTTTTGCTTCTTTAAAGAAAATGTTTATTGGTGAAATTCTATTAATGATTTTTGGAATTGAAAAACATAATTAGGTATTCAAAAACAATCACTTAAAATCAAAGGTATTTAGATTATAATCATGATATCATGTGAGGGTACTCACTCAAATATGTAAGGTGCATTTACATTACCAGACTAAAGGTTTTATCTATTTTCCTTCACAGACTGCACCTTCTGGGTCATTGTTGCAAGCTCCATCAGCTGTTCCACTTCCGCGCCTTTGGGCTGAAACCTTGCCACCAGAGGACCACAAGTGGATTGCCAGCAGGCTTTTTAAAATGGGGTCCAAAGGAAAGCCAGAGCTTCGAGACAACCTCCAGCTCTGGTATTACCCTCCACAGCCTGCACTTACATACGATCAGGCTCCAGCTCCAGACAGATTTTTCTGTCATTCACTTTTGCTGTGGATGCCATACAAGCTGTGGAGGGTCAAAGTCCTTTGCCCTAATCCTGCATGTGGACAGCATCAGCTGACAGGTGGAGGTCTGCACAAAAGGGCACGGCAGGTTCTGGACATCGACAGGATGTACAACATGGTTACAGAAACCCTCATCTGTACCAAGTGCAAAGCCTCGCATGTGTCCTGGAGTCAGACTGTCTTGCAGCAGCTAGATCTTGGCCATCGCTCACGAGTTTCGGGTCATTCTCACACAGAAGTGAGTAATTGAACACCTTTATTCCTCGTGCAGTTGTTAACCTATCATCACAGATATATGAAAATACTTTACATATATATATATATATATATATATATATATATATATATATATATATATGTTTATATTAATATTCTTCTGTTCCTAAGGTATGCCTGTGATATAAGAGTCATTCGCCTACTGCATGAGCGTGGACTAGGCAACAGCACCACAAGGGTCATTAAACAACTGAAGGAAAACCACAGTGAAGAGTGGCTCCAGCGTCTAGCCCGCTATACCACTCAGTGTGTGGATTTCCTCAGTGGACCTGGGGTGTTGCCGATCACCTTCCAGGAGCCCCCAGCACCTACAGTTGTGCCAAGCTGCAAGTGGCTCCTCACTGTCTACAGCCAGGACATCTTGACAAGGTTGAATGAAATCCATGCCAGGATAACATCGACCCATGGGTCCATCTTGAAGATGGATTCAACTAAAAAGGTTAGTGGATATTCATCAATTTATAATTTCTTTATTATATTCCAGCATTGGTGAAAACCCTTTGTGTAGTCTGCTTGATCTGACGATACACCATGGTTCTTCTCTTGTCTAATCTAGATCACAAAAAAGCTGGCTGGGACAGCAAAAGGAACAGGACTCTGGCTCACCTCTGTTGGCAATGAGTTTGGTCAGGTGCTGATAAGTGTGCTCACTGCCCAGGAAGGAGCAGGACTGGACAGGATGGTGGATGGGCTGGTCAGAAGATACCAGGAGGCTGGTGTGGATCCACCTGCTGTTTTGTATGTGGACTGTGGGTGCTGCACTGATGTGGGTGAGACCAAACTCAAAGCCAGGTTTAGAGGATGGCCGGAGTTGACTGTGAAATTGGACATCTGGCACTTTATGCGCAGGATTGCTGTGGGATGTACAACTGATGCTCATCAACTGTATCCCATCTTCATGTCACGGATCTCTGCGTGCATTTTTGAATGGGATGCGGCTGATGTTTCTTTGCTACGCCAAGCAAAGCGAGCACTGTTGATGTCCCAAGGTTGGCCTGCGTTGACAGATGCTGATGTCAACAAGCATCTCACCAGGGAGGAGCTGGCTCTCCATTGCCGGAGAAGGACCCGTGGGGAGGAGACTACCATCCTTCTACTTGAACAGCTTCTTACTGAGCTCATGAGCAACAAGGGCAATGACTCGCTGGGCGTTCCTCTTTTAGACAAGGAAAGGATGGGGCACATCTGGAGTGTCCAAAAAAAGCATATAAAATGCATTCAGGACCCCCCTGGTGTCGTGCTCTATACTGAAACGGGGAGCATAACCAAGGGAGGTGTTCTGCTACGGACCTACAGATGTGCCAGGGACTCCACGTCTCTCGAGTCCTTTCATTTACACCTCAATCGTTTCATCCCAGGTATGATTCTGCACAAACATTGTGTAAAAACGCATTAAATGTCTTTGTGTGTTTGTTTTTTAATCAAGTCCTAAACATTGTTTTTAATATTTACAGGGTACAGCGCAAATAGTCTGATCTTTCAGATTTATTTGCTGGAGGGACTAAACAGGTGGAACCAGGACCGGGAGGCTGCTTCCTTGGCATCTGAACCATCAGCTTTACGCAGCTACACAGGAGAACTTGTTCACTGTGTAAACTGCAACTTTGAAAAGCTGTTTGGGAGAAAAGTGGTGCCCAACTTTTGTCCGCCTGCACGTTACACTGGTAAGAGATTTTGCTATTGTTAATAAACCTGCAATTTCTGTGTTCTCTCCATCTACTGTATCCAGTTTGATACAGTAGGTCAATGTTCATGAGCTTTGTGCTGTGAAATCTTTGCTTGTCTTTAAATATTTGTAAGAACAAATGTATTGTTTCATGACTATTTACTGAAGTAAAGCAAGATACAAAGTTATCATTACATTATTATTACATGTCATTATCAACCATAATGCTACAAGCTTTGAGGGAAATTTATTTGTACATTTCTCTGTCTTCGTTGTATTTCCATTGCATTTCATTAGATGTTTTGTCCAGAATATTAATTATGTTTTGGATCTCTGATTAAAATGTATGTTTTTGTTTGTTTCTTCCTTGACGTTGAGCTTTTAAAACTACTTGCTACTTCAACACCCAATCAAACATGGCTCTTAAAATTTGTTTATTTATGTTTCATTTATTTTTTTCAGGTGAGCTCATTGGAGTGCAGTATCTGTTCCAGCAGACTGGTCAGGCACTGCAGAACATGAACCCAGACTGTGAGCAGACTGCTGAGCTCATTGAGGATCTCAATGTGGATGAGCGAGAAGAAGATGAGGGCTTCTGTGACATCAGTGAGGATCACACTATTGTTGATCCGGAGGCTGCTCTGTCACCATCCTCCTCCACATTGAGATCGGGTTCCTCCACTGCAGTCACCAGCAGTGTCGCTTCTTTGCCAGTCTCCACATGATGATGACGACGATGATGATGGTGATGAAGTGACTGTAAGTCCCACTAATTTCTGTCTTTACAGTGATCTAGAATAATTAAAAAAAATAAAGTGTAAAGTCAAACACGCATCAGGTTTATTTCCGTAGTGCAGCTTCAACATGATAACAGAAACAATTATGGAATTATGCATTGAAAAATTTAATATGCTATTTTATTTTGTTGTGCTTTCATTAGGCTGTTGACTACCAAAATATTCCGGGCTTCCAGAATGTGGACAGGCTGGCTGAATATCTGGTTGAGCTTTGGACCCACAAAAGCCTCAGCCTCACCAACCAGGAGGCCGACGAGATCATTGGTCTTTGGCAAAGCCTGCATGACCAAGACAAGAAGCGGGTGTGTATGCAGCTCGACACCAGAAGCGACTGCTGAGTGGGCGATTTAAAACACCCAAGAAGCCCACTCACACCCCTGGCGTGGAGAGCACTACCAGATGTGTGCTGGGTGCAAGCAGTTCTCCTGCTCAGTGGCCTGACTGTTGCCGTCTTGTGGAGACCATCTTTATTAGGCTTTGTACCATCCACCCTAGTCCCAAGCAAAAAGGCAAGGGAACCCTTTCAAGATGGTCTCTGATCCAAGACTACCGCAGGATTAGGCAACTCTGGGCAACAGCTTGGTAATGGGAGGTACATCCATGCAGCTGGTTGAGGTAAACCAGAATACCCTGATTCAGTGGTCTAACCCTAACAGACAGAAGAAGCAGGAGCTGTCTGTGCTGCTTCAGGGTATTCAGTCGCCTCAACCCCTCCCAGAAGCCCAGGAACCTCTTCCAGTTGCCAAAAGTCTTCGGACAGAGCCAGACCAACCAGGAGAGCAGCACCAGTATGTGTTGCCAGAGAGCACAGCAGGTCAGGCAAGGCAGAGGCAGACATCTGTTGGACGACCCCCACTCAGACCCAAGGCACCAGTACAGACCCAGGTCATATTTACACCACCAGCACCTGGAGCATCGCTGCAGATGGTACCCAACATATACATCCCAGCTACACCAGGGTATGCTGATGTTTCAGGGTGTACCAATGTTCCAGGCTGTGCCAATGGTCCAGGGAATCCCTATGGCCCAGGGTATCCCGATGATGCAAGGAGTGCAGATGGCCCAGGGTATCCCAATGGTGCAGGGGATGCCACTCAGACAGCCACCACTTCAGCCAACAATGTCCAGTACCAGCTCATAGCCTGCTGCATCACCGTCCACATCTGGATCCATTCCCAAAAGACCGTACCGGAGAACTGTTCAAGCGAACACTTGTAAAAAGTGTGGGCAGTTCAAAACAAATGCCACAGGCCATAGCTAACTCAGGGGCAGGGTGTACTGCCCACAGACTGAAACTTTAACTAAAGAAGAGTGGCTAGAGGAAATGAAAAGGACCAACCCAAAATAATGTGTTTGTTTGTTTGTGTATGTATATAGTGTAATAGTTCTTCTATTTATTCAATTTCACTTGCTGTTAGTTTATATTTTTATTTCACATTTTCTTTAAATAGTGTATTTATTTTGTTGACATTTTATTTAACGTATATATTATTCATGTGTGTGTGTGTGTGTGTGTGTGTGTATAGTGTTTACAGTTTATAACCATAATAATTTAATTTATTCTATTTCACTTGTTTTTTTGCACATTTTACTTTTTAATAATTTATTTTGTTAACATTTTATTTAACTTATTTATTATTTATATTTGTGTGTGTATTTATATAGTTTATAGCCATAATAGTTCTACAGTTTATTCTATTTCACTTGTTGTTGGTTTCTATTTTATTGCGCATTTTATTTAAATAGTGTATTTATTTTGTTAACATTTTATTTAACTTATTATTTATATATGTGTGTGTGTACAGATAATAAACAGATTTATAACCATAATAGTTCTTTAATGAACTTGTTTGATTCTGTTTTATTGCACTTTTTATTTAAATAGTTTATTTATTTTGTTGACATTTTATTTAACTTATTTATTATTTATATGTGTGTGTGTGTGTGTATAAAGTGTATACAGGTTACAACCATAATAGTTAAATTTATTCTATTTCACTTATTGTTTTGATTTCTAAATTTATTTAACATTTTATTTAATTTGTTAATTTTGTATTTATTCTGTTAATATTTAACATTTAATTTTTAAGAATTTTTATTCCATGTTCATTACTGTTTTTTGACCATTGTTAAATAAATATTGGATTAATAAATGTCCTTGACTTTTAAGTCCACTTTGTGTCGGTTTCTGTTTGTATTTACCATTTTATTAACATTGTTTATTTATATTATTTATATTGTTAATACTGTATTATTAATAACTAATTTATTATTTTTACATTTTCTACTCTATATTCATTACTGTTCTGTTGACAATTGTTAGATAAATAATGCATATATAAATAACTGACTACTTGACTTTTAATTCCAAATACACTACGCACACTATACACACACACACACACACACACACATATATATATAATAGTGACACATTCAAGTTAGTATGCTTTATTTTTCATGAAATAATGTCAAAAAACACAAGAATAAAGTGCTTAGGCATATTTTATTTACCTTGGAGCATTACACATTCAAACAGTTAGTTTATTGAGTAATAATTAACCAATAACAATAAAGCGTCTTTAGCTGGATTCGAACCCCGGTCTTGGTGAGCACTTGCAATAGAAATCAATGTAACTCAAATTGCGTTGTTTTAACACAGAACAGTATCACTATGCGTGACGTAAAGCAGGTGCAGGGAAGGCGTGTCTGGGAAGCTTAGAATTCACCCTTTCTTTTCTTCATTTTTCCCCCTCTTCTTCCCTTTCTTTCTTCCCACCTTTCTTCCCTTCTTGCCCTTCTTTGTTGGACAATTTTTCCCCAGCTTGAACACAGCGCTTTAGACCGCTCTGCCATCCTGACATGCTTGAATGGTATGAGCTGTCTCCAGTAGGCAGCGCGTCAGTCTCATAATCTGAAGGTCGTGAGATCGAGCCTCACATGGCGTGCTAACTTTTGGCACATGGAAGCGCTTAGATGACTGGGTGGCATTTTTTATCCCCTTCCGTGTGGATCATGCTTCCCCAGGGCGAAAAAAGCTACAGCTCCTCTGGAGGCCTGGCGGCGTGAAGTTCCAAGAACATTTCCTGAGTCTGAAGCAATGATGGTAAGATGCCTCCATTCCTATCACGTTGTCGCTTGACGTTCGGCGTGGATCTGTCAAATGTCATGAATTAACGTTGTGCGAGGATTTGACGAAAAGTCCTGCGAATCCCATTGCCTTAAAAATCAATGGCATCCCAGAACATTCCACTACATGGCATTCCAAGACAGTTCTTTTGATCCCTTTTCGGTTCACTTGCATTAAAGTCTTCGTCCATTGTTTTTTTTTCATATGCATCTTCGAGTTTTTGTGGACAATACCTTGATCGGAAACGCCTTAAAACCTACAGTCTAAAGTGCCCATTAAGTCTGCCAGGGACACTGCTACGGTGCATGAACTTTGGCTCAAAGAGATTGATGCTGTGCTTTGTCAGTGTTACTGTATCACTCGGACATGGCGCCAAAGAGTTAAAGAACTGAGCCTGAACGCGTAGCCAAAAATTTGGTTTGTCAGATGTGGTGTTTGAACCAACACCTCTAGGAGAGACTGCATCCTGAACTCAGCGCCTTAGTCCACTCGGCCAACCTGACATGCTTGACTAGTTTGAGCTGTCTCCTAGGACCCAAAAAGCACAAAGGCAAAGAACAACATGGATCAGCATTGGTGGTTCAGTGGTGGAATTCTCGCCTGCCATGCTGGAGACCTGGGTCCGATTCCCGGCCAATGCAATTCCTGTTTTGTGTTGCTACTCTTTCAGCTCTGGGTAACAGCCTTGCAGCAATCACACCCAACTAGGACAGCAGTATGCGCATATCAGCATTGGTGGTTCACTGGTAGAATTCTCACCTGCCACGCGGGGGACCCGGGTCCGGTTCCTGGCAAATGCAAATCCTGTTTTGTGTTGCTACTCTTCCAGCTCTGTGTAACAGCCTTGCAGCAATCACACCCCACTAGGACAATAGTATGTGCATATCAGCATTGGTGGTTCAGTGGTAGCATTCTCGCCTCCCACGCGGTAGACCCGGGTCCGATTCCCCGCCAATGCAATTGCTGTTTTTGTGTTGCTACTCTTCCAGCGCTGGGTAACAGCCTTGCAGCAATCACACCCCACTAGGACAGATCTATTAGCATATCAGCATTGGTGGTTCAGTGGTAGAATTCTCGTCTGCCACGCGGGAGACCCTGGTCCGATTCCCGGCCAATGCAACTCCTGTTTTGTGTTGCTTCCTTTCCAGCTCTGGGTAACAGCCTTGCAGCAGTCACACCCCACTAGGGCAGCAAATTAGGCATATCAGCATTGGTGGTTCAGTGGTAGAATTCTTGCCTGCCACGCGGGAGACCCGGGTCCTATTCCCGGCCAATGCAATTCATCTTTTGTGTTGCTACTCTTCCAGCTCTGGGTAACAGCCTTGCAGCAATCACACCCCACTAGGACAGCAGTGTGAGCATATCAGCATTGGTGGTTAAGTGTTAGAATTCTCGCCTCCCAAGCAGGAGACCCAGGTCCGATTCCTGGCATATGCAAATCATGTTTTATGTTGCTACTCTTCCAGCTCTGGGTAACAGCTTTGCAGCAGTCACCCCCCACTAGGGCAGCAATATAAGCATATCAGCATTGGTGGTTCAGTGGTAGAATTCTTGCCTGCCACGCGGTAGACCTGGGTCCGATTCCTGGCCAATGCAAATCCTGTTTTGTGTTGCTACTCTTCCGGCTCTGTGTAACAGCCTTGCAGCAATCACACCCCACTAGGACAGTAGTATGTGCATATCAGCATTGGTGGTTCAGTGGTAGCATTCTCGCCTCCCACGCAGGAGACCCGGGTCCGATTCCCGGCCAATGCAATTCCTGTTTTGTGTTGCTTCCTTTCCAGCTCTGGGTAACAGCCTTGCAGCAGTCACACCCCACTAGGGC